CTGGCTCACCTACCTGCTGACTGACCTCGGAGAGCCGCCTCGTTCTCCTCCAGTACTGTACGTAGACAACAAGGCCATGCTGGCCTTGTGTCGAGAGCAGAGACTGGAGCACAGAACGAAGCACATTGCTCTCCGCTACTTCCTTGCTCGTGAGCTACAGCAGCGTGGTCAGCTGCGGCTTGCGTACGTGGCCTCTGAGGCCAACACTGCTGATATCTTCACCAAGGCACTTGCGCCTTGTGATCATCAGCGCTTCTGTACTCAGCTGGGTCTTGTGCCTACCTTGCCTCACTTGCTCACCCCTTGACCTTGTTTGTACTGTTGCATATATATATACACCTGCTCTTGCTTGTCTAGCCTTATATGTATATGTAATCCTGCATGTGAACTGGCCTTGTGGCCTTGAACTTGTGCTCGGAATGTGTGGTGACTTTGTGATCCACCCTGAGCTTGTTTTGCTTTACTTGACTGGTCTTGTGACCCCTTGTTCTCCCCCACTTTGCCTATGGGGGTGTGTCAGATTTATATGACATAGCTACTGTAGGCTATAGTGGGGTAGCACATATGGGGTACAGTTTTCCTAGGGTTTGCTTTTTGTACCCAACTTTCCCTTAGTCATTTCATTCCTCGTTTCTTCTCACTACTGACGAGACAACCTGCTCGCCCAACCTCACCGACCCTCACCGAGTCACAGTACCGATGCACGCCATCGATCGGGCTCGGATGAATAAGGAGGGTAAATACAGGGGATTTACCCATCGATCGGCCATCGACGGATTACCCAATACTGGTTTTAGGGAAAATACAGGGGACAGCGGTGAAGATTTTTATAGACGGAGGAGCAAGCCACAGTTTAGTCAATACCGCAACTGCACGGAAGCTGCAACTGACACTTAGCCGTTGTTTACCGGAGATTGATGCACGCTTAGTTGACGGCACGCCACTGGCAATACGGGAAAAAGTGGTGAAGGTGAAAGTTCGTTGCGGGGGGAACTTCGGGTTTACACAGGAAATGCTCGCGACGACACTGGATGGGCACGACATTTTACTGGGTCGTGACTGGCTGCGACGCTACAATCCGCGAATCGATTGGACGACGGGTAGCTGCACTGTGCAAAGTAGTGGTAACTGGGTCGAACTACCTTGCTGGCGGTCACCCGAGTCTTCGACGGTCCACGTCAACGCCATCACAATGAAACGGGCCGTCGCCGCTAGAGCTGACGTGTACGCGGTGGATATCACATTGGTAGGAGAAACAGAGCAGCCGAGCGATTTTCAGAAACCGCTGGCAGCCGTACCGCCCGAATTATAGAAACTACTGAAACAGTACCCGGGGATTTTTCCGGACGACTTGCCGGAGGGATTGCCACCTCAGCGAGCACATGACCACCGCATAGAACTAGAACCAGGGGCACAGCCAACAGTACAGCGACAGTTCAGACTGACACAGCCCGAGCTCGACGAACTGAGGAAGCAGTTAGACTACCTGTTAGAGAAAAAAATCATCCGACCGAGCTCGTCACCGTTCGCCGCACCGATACTGTTCACACCGAAAAAAGACGGAGGGTTTCGCATGTGTATCGGCTACAGAGCACTGAACAGGGTAACAGTCAAGTCGCGATACCCCATTCCCCGCGCCGACGAATTGATAGATCAACTGCGAACAGCACGGGTCTTTTCGAAATTATATTTACGGGGAGGTTACCATCAGAGTCGAGTCGAACCATCGGACTGCGCCAAGACGGCATTTAGGACTAGGTACGGGTCATTCGAGTACACCGTGATGCCATTCGGGCTGACCAACGCACCGGCGACATTTCAGATGACATGAACGAGGCGTTTAGGCCACTCTTAGATAAATGCGTGATAGTTTACCTCGACAACATCCTAGTCTAGAGTCGCGATAAGCAGCAGCACTTAGAAGATCTAGAAGCAGTGTTTAAAGTTTTAGACGAGCACGGACTACTGACCAAGGGTTCCAAGTGCGAGTTCTTCCAGGATAGGTTATAATTTCTGGGGCACGTTATTTCGGAGTCTGGAGTTGAGATCGACCCAAAGAAGTTGGACACGGTAAAAGCGTGGCACCCCCCGACGAACATCACGGAGTTGCAGAGTTTTTTGGGGTTCGTTAATTATGTGCGTCGGTTCGTCCCCGACATGGCCCGGTTAACTGCCCCACTGACGGATTTACTGCGGAAGGGGGTCGCATTTACGTGGGGGGAGAAAGAGCATGCTGCCTTCTCTGCCCTGAAAAATGTTCTCTGTTCACCACCCAACTGCTCGTCGCCGACCCACACCGCCCATTCGAAGTAGTTATTGACGCAAGCGACATCGCCATTGGAGTCGTACTGCTACAGGATTTCGGCAACGGCCTACAGCCCATCGCATACGAGTCACAAAAACTGCATCCACCCGAGAAAAATAACTCGATACACGACCGCGAAATGCTCGCGATCGTGCACGCGTTCAAAGTGTGGCGCTGTTACTTGACCGGCGCAGACGTGACAGTACGGACAGACCACAAGTCACTACAGTACCTCCGCGCACAGCCCCACCTCAACCCACGACAGATTCGATGGCTCGATTTTCTCGAGTCGAATTTCCATTACACGGTCACCTGCAAAAAGGGGGCATCAAACATCGCCGACGCACTGACCCGCCCCACTGCCCAAATCCACGCCCTACTGCTCGCCCAGACCAGCCCACTGCTTACAGGACTATTTACCCACGGATACCAAACAGACCCATTCTTCACCGGAGGAAACTCGCAGCAGTTCGCAGCAGCAAAGGGGGTTTATTACGTAAAAGCCGCCACCGATCGCATCTGGGTACCGGGCTACACTTTACTAAGGGAACTGTTACTACAGGAGGCACACGACGGGGTTACCTCAGGCCATTTCGGAGTAGAAAAAACACGGCAGCAGCTGCAGCGGTATTACTACTGGCCCGAAATGCTGATGGTCTAGTGGTTGGGATTCTGACATGGTATCTAGAGCAGGCTCGTTCCTAGAGCCTTCTTCCTCGGGCCCACCATTAGCTTCCGCTATGGCACAGTCCAACAAGCTGCCCGTCGCGCGCCCAGGGCGCGCGTCGGTTTCTGCCCGTCGCACGCCCCGGGCACGCGTCGGTTCCTGCCCGATGCGCGCCCCGCGCGCGCGTCGGTTCCTGCCCGATGCGCGCCCCGCGCGCGCGTCGGTTCCTGCCCGACGCGCGCCTTGAGCGCGCGGCGGTTTCTGCCAGCCGCGCGCCCCGAGCGCCCTGCTGCCCTGCGCGCCCCGCGCGCCCTGCTGCCCTGCGCGCTCTGCTGAGGTGCGTGGCGTTTGCGGTGCGCGCGGCTGCTCCCCTCCGCACGCGCATCTGCAGCCGCATGAGCAGCCCTTACCCCGCCCCCCCTTTCTCCTCCCTCTCCCTGCTGGGCGTGCAGCAGGTTGGAGGGGGGGGGGGAGGGTGTGCGGGGGTGGTTGCACCTACAGCGCCAGCCCGCCTCCTCTCTCTCACGGCTGCGCCTGCTGCTGTGGGGGGGAGGGTGAGGGGGTGGCGGATGTGTTTCAGCAGCAGCCGCCTTTCCCCCAAGTCTTTCTCCTACTGCCACACCTGCTGCAGTGGGGGAAGAGGGTGAGGGGGTCGTGGGAGTGAAGTCGAGCTACCACCGCCGCACCTGCCACCGCACACCTGCTGTGCTACTCTGAACTAGTGTCTCTGCACGTGGCTCCCACTGCAGGCAGTTAGGGGGTGTGTTAGAAATTATAAATTTCGGATAACTGCCTGCTAGTGTAGCTACTGTGTAGTGTTATTGTCAATGTTGGTGGTGCACCATCTTGCCCACCCTTGCTTTTACTTGTACCCTTCTTGCTAATCAATCTTCCTTTTTTGCCTAAGTCATCTCGCCACCTCCTTGCCAAGCTAACTAAACCCTAGCTATGGCTACTAAGTTGTAGGAGATTCTGACATGGTATCAGAGCGGTCTCGGGTTCGAATCCCGGTGTATGCACATGCAGGCCGTTGCCGCTGTGCCGAGTCCTGGACCTCCCTGTGTGGGGGGGTGTCAGAAGACTTGCACTGTGAGATCCCCGATTGATCCTTGGGGGGTTACAGGCCTGTTAGCCTGGAGGGTTATGGGCGCACTGACCCGCTACTGAAACAAGCCCTTTTATCCCAATAGTCTAGTGGTTGGGATTCTGACAACTGGTACGTCAGCCCGTCGTTCCACGTCAGCCTGCTTCGCCCATATGTCCCATCCACCAGCCAACTGCCTCGCAACCGCCCCGCCAGCATGACACGACCGCCGACAGAGCCAATCATCACGCCTGAAAAGATACTGAGCCACCGAGTTCGTGACCCACGGGGAGCCCGCAGGATCGAATTTCTGATCCGCTGGAAAGACCGCACGCCCACCGAAGACAACTGGGTTCCCCTGGATTGAATCGAGAACCACCCTGTCCTCACCGAGTACCTACGCAGCCGAAACTTTCGAGATGTACACGCGCTCTCGTAAGGAGGGCCTCCTTGGGGAGGGGGGTAGTGTAAGGAAATTTCCTTTCCTTACTTCGCGCCCCTGCTTACCGCGTACATGACCATTCCCGCCATCGGCACCCGCTCGCGACACTCGCCTCGACAACGACTCCCGCCACTGTTCACGATGCGACCCAACCTCACGGTTCGGTTGGTAACCCGCGCTCCGGACCTCCGCCTCGACATTTCCCAACCTCGGCGCTAGGCCCGTAGCGCACCCCATTTTCTCGCGTTACCGTTACCACGCTAGCTTAGCTATGTATTCTTCGCTCATGCCTTCACTCATTGTATTGTATTGCTTCGATAGTGCAATTCTCGCGAGTTCCCTCAATTGCACTCGTAACACAAGATGCCACACAAATTGTACCCCCCCCCCACCCCCCCCCACAATTTAGGATACCGTTCTCCGCACAGTCGGGAACGGAAACAACCCCGAGACGCCGTTGCGCACACTGAAGGCGCCTTTTGCCCCATCACTTCCAAGCACAATGCGGATTTGGCGCGGCTCGTTCCGCGTCCCATTATCATGCCGTGTTTTGGGGCGCATAAGCACTGCTGTTGGCAATAGCATCCGCGGTTCCCACGGCGTCAAGGCACGTGAGCCTCGCCTTTCCTTATCACCCGCGGCGATCTCGTTCCGCCTCGTCCTTATCGGCGCGCTGCTCTCTTCTCCCCCGCTCCCCGTCCCGCGCTCTCACTGCGGCGCTGCTCCGCTCCTCGCGCTGGCGCAAGGAAGCGAGGCGTCGTTTCGGCTGATCTCGTCGCTCTTTCTCGCGTGGTCCGACGCGTACAACGTGGGCGGGAACTCCACCCTCCCCCCTGCGGAAATAACTCTCCCCCCGCGCGTCTCCGCTGCGCCGCACCTGGAGGACTGCGCGCGAGTGAGCGCGGAGCGGGAGGCGTGGGAGCGAAGAGGCTCGCAGGGTGAGGAACCCGCTTGGGCCCGCGGAGCTCCAGGGAAGGGGGATTCCTCCGCCGGCTCCGCTGGCTGCTCCGCGGGAGAGGCGCAGGAGGAGGAGGTCCCGCAACCACCTTGGGTAAGGGGGAAAGGACGACCTATTGCTGAAGCCCCATCAAGGCCAATAGGCCAGGGCTGGCCATGAAGGGCGGGCTGTGATAGGCCGGCTATGTTGAGATAACTTTTGAAATTCTCTTTTGAGATCACTTTTGAAATTCTCTTTTGAGATCACTTTTGAAATTCTCTTTTGAGATCACTTTTGAAATTCTCTTTTGAGATCACTTTTGAAATTCTCTTTTGAGATCACTTTTGAAATTCTATTTTGAGATCACTTTTGAAATTCTCTTTTGAGATCACTTTTGAAATTCTCTTTTGAGATCACTTTTGAGAATTCTCAAAAGAGAATCCAACATGAAGCTCGTCATGGCCAGGGCTGGCCATGAAGGGCGGCTGTGATGGGCTGGCCATGAAGGGCGGGACGGGCCGGCCGTGAAGCTCGTCAGCACCCTTACTACTAGCTTTTCTTTAGACTTCTCAACAACCTGACGGGATCTGCTTCGATCTGCGCATCAGAGGCCGACCGGACCAAAGCCTGTGTGACGTGGCGTGGCTCCATGGAAATGCCAATGTGTGTGAAGTTGATGTGGGTGGCAGGCAGTGATGAAGCAGCTTCAACCTCACAGGATGCGAATGCCAATATGGCAGGAGAAGACATGGCCATCCAACCCAACGTATAAAGAGAGGATAATCAAGTTCCCGCTTCTTCACCATCTCCCAACCTCATCCCCATGCAGATCCAAGGGCAGGATGCAGCCAATCTGCCGCTGACACGTATCGTGCAGAGGGACATCTGGCGGAACCAGTTCCCCGCTGGCGATTGCACCAACAGGCGCCTCCTTGTTGTTGACTGGGCGAAATCTGGCGTGCATGGCGTTGGCTCACAGGTGGGTTGACTTTTGAGTCGACTCAAAACAAAATCTGGCGTGCATGGCGTTGGCTCACAGGTGGGTTCTCTTGTGTGTGCTGCGGCGGGCAGGCAGCATGATGGCATGAAGCATGTTGTGCTTGTGCTTGGCTTGCCATGCGCAAAGCATGAGCGCGTTGCTGATCATGTTCAACGCCATTCATCTTGCACCATGCACCATGCACCATGCAGCATGCATCATGCACCATGCAGCATGCATCATGCATCATGCACCATACAGCATACGCCATCCGTGGCACTCATACCATACACCCCACGCCCCACGCCCCATGCCCCACGCTCCCACCCCACCAGATCCACTACATGAGTGCGATGCTGAGTCTAGCCATGCGCAACAACCGCACCCTCGTGGATGAACCCGATGCCTTCGACCGCGCCGGCACCCCCGCCTGTGAAGGTGGGTGCATGGCATGGTGCGTGGGATGGTGCGTGGCATGGTGCATGGCATGGTGCATGGCATGGTGCATGGCATGGTGCATGGCATGGTGCATGGCATGGTGCGTGGTATTATGTAAAATTTCTCAGGGTAGCTGTTTCTATTAACGGAGCTGAACATACCATTTGCATGGGGTGTGGTATGCTGTGGCATTTGCATGCAGTGTGGTATGTCATGGCAGCACACAAGCGCACACGCCAGCCGATCAAAGATTGACAATTCTGCAGGGTTGTGAATTTCTGCCCACGCCCTAGTTGCCTCAGACTAAGTACTGCCCTTCATCCCTTGTTTCTCAGTCCAAAGTCGCTTTCCATGTGAAACCTTCTCTCCAGGACACCACTGCCAGTTCGCCTCTGTGAAGTTGAATCACCATTGGCACCTCACCTCCCCCTTCCTTCCTTCTTTCACTTCCTCGACTCTCCCCCATGATTATCCCTCACCTTCGTCCCACTCAACGCCTCTCACCTGTTCCCACGCTGTGCAGTGCCATAGCCTGGCAGGGGACCTCCTTGCCTTGCTCAACTTCCGCGGCTCCTCAAAAGTCGCCTCATCTTTTGAGGCGCCTCAAAAGTCGCTGTGCAGTGCCACAGCCACTGGCAGGGGACCTCCGTGCCTTGGTCATCCCTTGTTGGTTCCTTGAGCTCTATTTAATAAAAACCCCCGCTACCCTTCTCCCACCCCAACCTTATTTCTTCCCTTTTCCACCCCAATTGCCTTGCTCCCTCCACCTACCCTCTTCCCTTCCAATTCCCCCCTACCGTGTCCCATCTCCACTGCTTCAGCTGTGGGTCACAAGAACCAATGGGAGTGCTATTTTTTCCCCATCGTCTCGCCTGCTTGCCAACAAGTCTACCAACAGGCTGTAGAGAAGAGCCGCGACACGATCCCCCTTGGGAAGAACAACTATTCTCAAGTGGCGGCGTGGAACGATACGATTGTGTTTATTACTCAACCGAACCCTTCAAAGTTTGCCATGGAAGCTGGCGCTGCAGAGTGCGTTGCGATTCCAATGTGAACATTGCCGGTGCCTCTGTTGCCCGTGCTTGAGGCGCACGCACACACGCACGCACACACGCACACACACGTGCGCACACACGCACGCACACACGCACACACACACACACGCGCGCACAAACACACACACACACGCACACACGCACACACACACACACACACACACACGCACGCACACACACGCGCGCACACACACACACGCACATGCACAAGCACACACACACACACGCACGCACGCACACACACACACACGCGCACACACACCGATACGCTCTCGCTCACACACACTCACACACACGCATACACACACACACACCCACACGCGCTCGCGCGCGTGCACACACACGTGTACACACACACGCACACACACACCTACACGCGCTCGCACACACACACACACGCACACACACACACACACACACACACGCACACACACACATATGCACACACACACGCACACACACACACACACACACGCGCGCGCGCGCACACACTGACACGCGCTCGCACAGACACACACACACACACACACACACATATACAAACACACACACACACACACGCACACACACACACACACACACACACACACACATGGTTCTGTTCTTGGAACTTCTCTTATCAAAGTGAATGCCTTATCAGGAGGCAGTCTCACCACGCTTTATACCCTCCCGCCCATCCCATCTCCCCCATCAGCCTCTCCAAGTGACGCCCCACGGCAAGAGCATGCCTTTTTTAGTCCGCACAGCAATCTGCAGCTGTGAAAGGAACTGATTCCATTTGCAGCGTGCCAAGCTAACTGCCTCCGCAACCTTCCTGCTTCCTTCCCCTCTCTCGTGATTTCCCTGCCCCTGCATCAGCCTGTGGGGCGATGCCTTTTATAAGGCGCCCTGCACCGTGCAGATGGACGGCAAACTAACGAATGTGACTCAACTTCTGCGCAAGGTAGGATTGATCATTCTCGTCGGATTGATCGTCTGACACCAATATGAACGAGCTGGTTTCTGAGAATTCTCAAGAACAACAATATGAACGGAAGCTGCTGAGTGAGAACTAACTAATCTCGCTGACCCAACCCGATTGCATTGCAAGGTAGTCATGGCAAAGGCAGGGCTTAACAGCATGACTGGAAAGACTGAAAATGCTTCTTCCAGGAAGCCATGCCAACCAAACCCTCCCCCTCCCTTTACAAAAATATGCCTGGAGAGATTGAAAAGCGCCCCCTCTTCTTCCCCCCTGCTTTTGCTTCATGATACTGCTATTCTGGGCCCCCACTTCCCCCACCCTCTCCCTCCCACCCTCTCCCTCCCACCCTCTCCCTCCCCCCCTCTCCCTCCACTTTGGCTTTCCCCCTCTCAACTCCACCCAAATGCACTGGTGCTGTGCAATTATTTCCAGCCTCTGTAATCGCACATTGCTTCTCCGATTTTCTCCCCCTTTCTCCCCCTGCTTTACCCGCCCCCCACCTCCCCCCCCCCCCCCCCCCCCCTCGGGAATGCACTGGTGGCGGGCGCAGGGCAGGCAGTGCGCTTCAATACTCTTTCACCGAAGCTACTGTTTCGCCCGTTGCCCTTTCCAGGTGCACTGGTGGTGCGCCTCACACTTCATGCTTCACGCTGGTGGTGCACTGGTGGTGCGCGCATAGGCAGAGTGCGCCTCACGCTTCACGTGCCCTCATGCCTTCTTCCCTGTCCTCTCCCCTTCCCCCTCCCATTCAGTAACCCCAGGGGCACTGGAGGCAGGAGTTGTTCTCATAACTCCCCCTTATGCCTCTCCCCCTCCGATTCTTCCACCCCCCGTGCCTCCAGGTGCACTGGTGGCAGGGGCAGACAGTGCGCTGAGACACTTGTTCTCATGACTTGCCCACTATTCTCCTCCCTCCATACCCCCCTTCCACCCCAAACCCCATGCCCCCAGGTGCACTGGTGGCGGGCGCAGGCAGTGCGCTTCCTGCTGCGCTGGCCCTCCACCTACCTCTGCCACGTGTCCAACAGGGAGAGGCACCGCGCGTTTGGCATGATCGCAGCCAATCACGTGGTGCAGTTCCTGAAGACCCAGTCAAAAGCCCTCTCTTTTCTCTCTCGCAGCACCGCCCCTGCCGCCGCCGCTGCTGCTGCTGCTTCCACCGCAAGCAACGTCAAAGTGAATGCAAGCGAGTGGGAAGCAAAAACGCGAGCAGCATTGGAGCAATTGGCAGCTTCTAATTCCTCGACGTTTTTCCAATTCGATGCTGGTGCTGGTGCTGGTGCTGGTGCTGCTGCTGCTGGTGCTGTCACAGGGAGCGGCGGGGACGGAGGCAAGGATACCAGCGGCCTGGTGGGAGTGCAGGAGCCGTACATGCCGCGGCCTATAGTGAGCCTGCATGTAAGGGGTACGGACAAGCATTTTGAGATGGAGCTGAGCTCCCTGGACTGGCACATGTTCCTCGTGAATCGCCTCCGCCCTCATGCGCCGGACCTCTGGCACGTGTGGCTCAACACCGAGACACAGGTCAGCTCACTTCAGCAACCCAATGTGCATGCCCCGATGCAACTCTTTCTTCTTAAACTCATTCTCCCCATCATTCTCCCCATCATACTCCCCATCATTCTCCCCATCATTCTCCCCATCATTCTCCCCATCATTCTCCCCATCATTCTCCCCATCATACTCCCCATCACACTCCCCGTCATACTCCCCATCCTGTGCTAGGCCCAGACAACAGTATGCTCTGCTATGCTCATTTGGTCTCGCCCTACTTTTTTTCTCTGTGCACCCCTCAGGCCAACATAGACCAAGAAGTGGAGCACACGTCATGGGCCTTTTTCTACTCGTCAAACGCACGGCAGCAGGAGAAGACGGAGACACTGCGGCAGTACGAGCGCGACCAGTCAGTGGCGCTGAGCCTAGCGAGTGTGCTCATCGCCGCACAGTGCGATTATTTCGCCGGCAGCCTTGGATCTAATTGGAGCCGCCTCATGAACGAGCTTCGCTCCACCAATGGCCGCCTGACCGCCGGGTTCGTTGCCAATAATGTCGAGGAGTGGTGATGTACTGTGCTGGGTTTGGATTGGATGTGGAAGGGCGGGGAGGATTGATGTGTTGCCTTTCTCTCTTGATATTTATTGACGCGCCGTGCCATTGAAATGCTTTAGTGGTTGGTGTGGTAGTGTTACTCAATGCGTCTAACTTTATTGAAAGGCTAATTGTCTTCACATTTGTTTAAATATTATTGGCAACTCCCTGGTGGTGATATTTGACTGTTATATATTACCAACTCCCTGGCGGTGTACATATAAAAAGAGCACAAACATTCTAGATGTACGTTGCCCAGATACTCCCTAACGGTAGGTAGTTTTCTCGGTTCTTGCCGGCCCATTTCAACCGCAACAGCATACGTGCACACATCTTTTTCCCAGTCGCCATTCGAATTCCACCACCATCAATCACCTCACGCCTGCTACTCACCGATCTTTGCGCGGCACCTTGTCCGTTGTTTGCGGGGATGGTCGCCAGATCCTCGCTTTCCTGCTTACAATAGGATGTTACCAACCACAGGATCTAAACATCCTGGTGTGGTGTTACCTTTGCCTCCTCGTTGCTCAGAATCGTATCTGATCTGCAAATCGTCAGGGAGTTACGTTTCGTTTCAACACCTTCACATGCGGAACTGTAACTTATAAGCCTCCTCCATCCTTCGGTACCGTCCGCTGCAGCAGCTGCTTCCGTCGGTCCGCCGCCAGTCACGGCGCTGCAGTCCTCTCTCATTCTCTCACAATCAGCCTTAGACGAGGCTTCGCGGCGCCATCATGCATTCGCGGCGGCTGCCAGTCCTCGGCGTTAGGAGAATAGCAGTCGCGATGGTCGTATGGCTCTCCGTCACCCGCGTCGTCATTCGCGCGCATGTGAGTGCGGCCGCTTCGATCAGCATACCCTCGTTTTACGCGCGCGCGCGAAAAGGGCAGATGATTGTCGTCTGGTTCCCACGGCCGAACCCGTCACTCTGATCCGCCAAGCCCCTTCCCCCCGTCGTGCCCTCCTTGTTCTCGCTCATCGCTTCCCGTCCTGTTTCTTGCTTATACCTCCTTCCCAATTCGGGAACCAAACTGTGCTTCGTTTTTAAAGAAAGTCACTTTCTCACTCTTTAAGTCGCCCTTCCCTCCATCCCCTTCCCCCTTTCCCCTACCCTCCTCTCCTCCCCATGCCCCCTCCTCCATCGTTTCCGTCCGTGTCCTCCGCGCGGCCGCGCGACGGTGAGCCAGACACACGCCTCGGAGACGGGACCAGGCATCCCGAATCCGTTCGACTTCGCCTTCCCCGACCACCTGTGCGGGTCGCTGCGCGAGACCTACATGGCGATTAACGACCGCGTCCGCGCCGCCTGCAAGGTCGAAGCGCAAGCAGCCGCCGCCGCAGGCACTGCTGCTTCTTCCGCCGGTTCGTCTGCCGCCGCCGCCGCTGCTGCCCCTCCCGCCGCCGCTCCACCTTCCGCTTCCCCCGCCACCCCCGCCACCTCCCCCGCCTCCGCGTCCTCCGCGCCATCGCAGTGCCGCACGCTGATCTTCGACTCGGGGCACGACGGGTTCGGCGACACGGTCTTCGGCCTCGCGTCGACGTTCGCCGTGGCGCTACTCGACGACCGCGCGTTTCTCATGCGCCAGGAGTGGCTCCCGTTTGCGTTCGAACCCGCGACCTTCGACTGGCGAGTGACGGAAGACATTCCACTCACCACGTACTCGCCGCAGATCATGGATCCAGACCAGCCGCCCAACGCGTCGTACGCGCGCCTTAGTCTCTACAATAAGAACGTCGACCCGGAGGAGTATTTCGGGAAGCTGAAAGGGATCGCGCACATTGGATTGGTGTGGAATCGCGGGATTTTGTTTAATCTGCTGACTAAGGCCAAGGGCGCGTGGGCGGAGAGGTTCAAGGCGATCGGGATGACGCCGCCGTATGCCTTTGCGTGTGTCATGCGGTTCCTGCTGCGGTGGGTTGTTCTTGCTGTTTTTGGTGGGGGTGGGAGGGAGAGAGGGGGAGAAATGGGGCTGGTGTGGTGGAGACGGGAAGGGGTGGGAGTGGGAGGAAGCAGGAAGGGTTTACTGTATTTTGCATTTGGTTCCGAGCAGGGTTTGTTGCGTTCGTTCTCCCACTTGTTTCTCACTCTCTCCCCTCTGGCATTTCTCCTCCCCGCCCCCTCTCCCCCCCGCCCTCACTCCCCCTCCCTCCCCACCCCTTTTCTCTCCCGCTGTTTCTCACCCCTCACTTCCCACCCCGCCGTGTGCTCCTATCTTCCACGTTTGCACCTCGGACCACCCCCCCGCCACCCTCCTGACCACGCAGGCCCAAGCCGGAGGTATGGCAACTAATGAGGGACATAGCAGGGCAGGTGCACGTGCCGCACGGGCTGAGCATCGGCATCCACACGCGGGTGAAGGACCTCAAGGTGTGGGAGCACTCCACCAAGGACGGAGTTCCCAAGGTGCTGGGCGCGGCGGAGGTGGAGGAGCTGTATGTGCAGAACAAGCTGTCGTTCGAGTGCGCACAGGTAAGAGGGGGGGAGGGGAGGGGGGCGACAGGGAGGGGGTGGGGAGGGGGAGCAGGGAGGGGGTTAGAGGGGGAAGCAGCAGGGAGAAGGTGAGAGGGGGAGTCAGCAGGGGGAGGAAGTGAGGGGGGAGCAGCAGGGAGGGTCCCTTGTTCGGACCTCAAGGTGTGGGAGCACTCGACCAAGGACGGAGTTCCCAAGGTGCTGGGCGCGGCTGAGGTGGAGGAGCTGTATGTGCAGAACAAGCTGTCGTTCGAGTGCGCACAGGTGAGCGCTGGGAGGAGGGAGCAGGGAGGGGTGAGAGGGGAGCAGGGAGGGGGTGAGAGGGGGGGCCAGAGGGGGGGGGGGATGGGTGAGAGGGGCAGGGAGAAGGTGAGACGGGGGGGAAGGGAAGGGGTGAAAGTGGGGGGCAGGGAGTGGGTGAGAAGGGGGAGCAGCAGCGGGCCTCTTGTCTCAACACTGGGTCAGTGTTCTCAGTATGCCCTTCCAGGCCTGCACACAGCCTGTGCTTCCAGTACCTCTTCACCATTAGCCATGCAGTCTCGATGCTGTTCATCTTCCGTTCATGTCATATGATTTACCAATTCCAACGTACCGCACTCTCCCTCCCGACCCATTCCTTCCCGCTTCCCCCCTTCCTTCCCCCCCACTCTCCCCCCCTCCCGCGTGCCCTGTACGTTGTTCCTTGTGTGATGTATCGTAAAGGTCGATGAAATGCTGCAGAATCTTTAGTTTCCGATGCTTTTTGTCTTTCCAAGGTGAACCTCCTACTTCTAAATCCATTCGTTTCCGCCTCTATACCATTCTCTGTGTGCTGTATGCTGTGTTGTGTGCATTCTACCGCATGCGGCATGTGGTGGCATGCCATCAGGAGTTGGAGCGGTGGTGGAGCCCCTCCTCGCTCAAGATCAAGTGGTTCTTCATCTGCAACTCCGCTCAGCTCAAAGTAGCCGTGCGCGACAAGTTCCCCGACAAGGTACCGTACTCCTCCTATGCCGCTTGGCAGGTGGTCAGCACTTTGCGAGTTTTGAAGCGCCTCAGAACTCGTCTTATTTTGAAGCGCCTTAAAACTCGTCTTCCCTCTGCCTTTCAGCATCATGCTGTCAATCTCCATGTCTCTTGACCCATACCCCTACATCTCACATGTCTTTAAAGTTTTCTATATTCCATCTTCAATTGTTCTTTCTCTTTGCAGCTGCCCCCATGCCTCGCACAGGCAACCTTCAGCACCGCAGCTGTTTCCAACCCATCACCTCCCACCCTTTCTCCTCTCCCCCATTCATCCTCCTCTCCCCACCAGGTGGTGATCACAGAGTTTGTCCCACGGCATGTGGCGATCAGCAAGGATCCTAACTCCACCTCGCACACAGCAGCCCCTTCCTGGTACCAGGAGACCGTTGCCGAGTGGCTGCTCCTCGCCTCCTCGGATCTCCTTGTTATTCCTGAATCGGGCTTCTCTCGCTCCGCTGTCATGTACTCCATGCGACTTGGGAGGGTCTTCATGCCACAGAAATGCCGCCCCGATGCTCCTGTGCCTGTTACAGACCTGGCTACCATTGGGTGTGGTGTGTGAGGTGATCTGTGCGGTGGGCTTGTAACAGGACAGGATGGTGTGTACGGTTTATGCGGCATTGCTGGGGTTCAGTGGATTTGGGGGGCACACCCAGGCAGCTGCCTTTTGTTATGTTCATGTTTTTTATGCCCCGACACCTTATGAGAGCAAAGCTGGGTCACAGAACAGATTACAGTGACACTAAGGGGTGCCTTCCAGCCCAGTGCTGACAACAGATGATAAACCAGCGCAACCCAGCACACTGTCAAAATATCTGCAAACTCGGTACGGTATTGCAGTGTTCACCAGTAGCAAGAAGGGGTGCTTCAAAAGATTTTGAATCTTAAGGGGCAAGTAGGTATACGTATTCCATTAGTAAGATGTAAGGTTCCGCTTTCCATGGTAGTGAGAAGTGCTGAAAGAAAGGTACAGTTCGTTTCCTTACTGAGTGAGCACGCGTTGTTGGACTCACACATACAGTAGCAGAGCAGAACCGTTTTATACCATACCAAACCAGGGAGAGAGTCAGGAGTTTTGGTCTGGGAGGATAGGCTCGGATCAAGACTCACCCCTGGGCGGTGAGCTGAGCACCACATGTCAAGTGTGTACCCTGCTTATCGCTATCTGATAAGGAGAGATGGGCTCTCCGCCAACCTTGTACCTGACGTGTCATCGATGACCTGACAGTGATGTTCACAACAAAGTACGGTGCTAATCACCCTGCGCAAATAGTTTATTGAAGCTGTTTATAGTTGTAGCCCTAACCTCATCTGCTTCCACAACCGAATACCTTGGCTGGAGGCTGAGCACAAAATGTGTTTTGTCAAGTAATTCTGGCACATTCAGATCTCCCAGCAGTTGGACAAAATCTAGGGCCGCAATTTTTCGCTTTGGTTCATGTCAAAAGTCGGAACCTTTTTGTCGGAACCTGCAAATATAATCAGGCGCCTTCGAAGAATGTGGCTGAAAATTCTGTGGGCGTGGAGCACTGTTTCTTGGCAAGCTTCATTCCCACTTGAGAGTTGACAGCGAGTTGGGCAGATGCTGTGACAGCCGGGTTTGTTCTGAAAGGTTTGTTACGAGGAATTGTGAATATGCGCGTGCATTTTTGCTGGTCTCGTAATGTCGAAGCAACAAAACAAATCGTACAGTTCATGATAATATTTCAGACAAGCTTCGGAACAAACCACGCGTAAATAGTAGAAACATGAAAGGTTCAGACGAACCTCTGGCATGGCACAGCCTCCGCGGAACAACGCCGCTCCAACGGGACCGAACTGAACGATCAGAGGGGTTCGCGCGAAGTGTTGTGCTTCCCAAACCAGCAGGTCCCTTTCCGCTTCGCCACCACCTTTGTTTTCTCCTGCCCACTGGTCAACAGCACCTTTCCCCCACAACCCTCAATCAATCCGATTCATTCCATGGGCTGCCCGGAAACCAACTCGACAACCTGCTTCCCCCTCTGCTCTCGGAGGAGGGGGCAGCGTGAGAACCAATCAACGCAGCCGAAGATGTCTGACGGTATGCGGGAAAAGGACGAGCTTTGAGGGAGAGGGGATCAGGGGTACATTCCCAAGGGAGTGATGACGTGACGAGGCTTTTCTCCCCCCCACGATATCCTTTTCCCTTCTTTTCCCATTCCAACCGAATCCAATTCCCGATGGACATCAGGTCAAGTCCGGTCGCCAGTGGTGTTGCTGTGGCGCAGCCGAGTCGTCGTCTCGTCACTCCCTCCATTCACAATTCGATATTCATTGCTCTTTCTCCTGGTTACAAGTGCTCGAAGTTTTGTTACTTGCTGAAGCACGCCATGACCTTCACCTCAGCATGACGTTTTGTCCGTCAACTGTGCGAAGCGTAGGTCGCACGGACTCGATCGCCCCGTTTTCACTTCCTGTGACTTAAAGACGCCTACCTCTCGCAGTAGTAGTCCTCTACGACGTGAACCTGCTCATGATCTCGTCATGAAGCAATCAGAATCAATGGCTCCCTCGTCGGGCAAATCCGCGAGCCTAATCTCCAGATCACCTGATCAGCCCATTGCAACTTTCAACCTCATCAGTAATGACATTCCGACGTCATTCCTTTTACCGCCTCCTTTCCTCCTCCCTCCGAATGCGCGTATCGCGGCGTGCAAACGAGAAAACCCGTTCTCACTTCGTTCCTTCGCCTCCGCTATCCGACCATCGACAGTGCTCCTCTATCTCCTCGTCCTCTGCTTCGCGTCTCTCCTTTTCCATGCCTCAGACACAAACACAAGCTTGAGAAGCTTCCATTTTCATTCTCAACCGCTGCTTGATGAAACTGATGAAAATTCTCGCGCCATTCAACGAGAAGATGGTAGTACCGCTTTCCCCGCTGCAATGATCGGACCTATTTCAATAATCCGAGCGTCCTTCCCTCTCAGCTTCACGAACACGAGTCGCAGATCGACGGACTCGCCGTCCGTAGCCGTGAAAACCGGCGCGCTTTCTGAGGGGGTTTTCCGCTTCTTTTTTGTCCCCTCAAGAATACTATCATCAGAGCGCGATCGGCTGCTTCCGACGCGGTGGTCGCCGCGCTCGTTCTGGCGCAGTCTCATGCTTCCACGTGTACCACCAACAGCAGATCACGCGCCGTCTGCAGGGGCGTCGCACGATCGCGCCCGCGGCGTCGTCGCTGTCGCGGTAACTCAACAAGACTTTGAAGTAAATGATGCGGCCGCGGCCTCGTCGAGCGGACGAGACTTCGAAGTGTATGATGCGGAAAATGGCTTCCGCAAACCGACCCGGCCTACGAACCACCACCGTCACCACGCGTTTACGCCCGGCCATGTGTCAACGCCGCGTCACCGGCATATCATGTCCGACGCGGATCGACCCGGTTTAACAACAGCTGCTAGCAGCTTATCCGCGTTAGAGAATGTTCAAGGTCTATTGTCACGGCAGCAGAGCCATCAGGGGGAGCATAGAGCGCTGCGGCGCGTGCTTTTCCAAAAGAACCCCACGGCTGCTGTCGTGGCGGCAGCAATGGAGGCGGCAGCGGCTGCGGATGTGGAGGCTGCTGCAGCAGTGGCAGCGGCGGTGGCGGGGGTGGGTCTGGAGAGCGGGGAGAGTGACGCGGCGAGGGCGGCGGCAGAAGCCGCGTCGGCTGAGGCTGACGAGCATGCTGATAGCGTGGATGCTGCGGCGGCAGCTCAAGCTGCTGCTGCTGCTGCTGCTGCGCATGTTGCAGCGGCTGCGCATGTTGCAGCGGCTCATGCTGCTGCTGCAGCTCACGTTTCTGCGTCGTTTGCTGCGGCAGCTTCTGGGGATGGTGACGATGCGACGAGCTCTGTGGCTCCTGAATCTGTCGTTCGCTCTACCCCTGTCGGTCTGACTGAAGGGGTTCCACCGGCCAATGATGAGACCGGCCGACAGCAAAGACCCGATCCCGTTGCAGAGACAGCAGCAGGAGGAGGAGGAGGAGCGGCAGCAGCAGCATCAGCGCGAGAAACACCATCAGAAAGGAATTCCTTCAACACACCACCCTCTACCCACTCAAAACCCTCCCCGTCCTCCGCGTCTCCCCTCTCCTCCGTCTCACCCTCGACCTCCTCCTCTTCCTTGTCCCTTTCCATCTTCACGGCACCGACCGGGCACATAAATGAGACCCATGTGCGCCGCTCCATCCTATCCTGGCTCAGACTGCGCCCCACCCCGCAGGTCTACCTGCTTGGGGACCACCCGAGCCTGCACAACCTGGCTCGGCAGTTCCCGAACCACGTGCACGTGGATCTTCGTGTGGAGAGGTCGTTTGACGGCGTGCCTCTGTTCAGCTCCGTGGTTGCGAGGGCTGAGGCTATCGGTGCTGCCAGTAGCGCTAGGCGAAGAGAGCAGCTGAAACGGACGGGGAGTCAATCGCAGCAGCAGCAGGATGTGATTATGGTGGTGGATTCTCGTGTGACTCTATTGAATGATGTCGTGGACGCTGCACGTGCTATGGTAAGGCTGTCTAGAAGCAGAGGCCGAGGAGGAGAGGTTTTGGCCCGAGGTAAACTGCAAAGAAGGCGAGAGCTGCTGGCAGGGGAGGAAGGTGAAAGGAGAAGATGGTGGACGGGGAAGCAAGGTGGGGAACAGGGGGATTGGACGGGTGGGGTTCAAAGACGATGGTTGCAAGAAGACGAATCCACGGGTGAGAGTAGGCCAATGGTTTTGGATTTTGATGAGGAGGACGAGGAGGAGGTGAAGCTATGGTTGCAACGCCAGCAGCAGCAGCAGCAGCAAGAACAACAACAGCAACAACAGCAGCAGCAGCCGCAGCAACAGCAAGACAAAGAGCCAGGGCATCAACAGTCGCTCTGGCAGCAGACACATGTGAGCAGTCAAGATGTCCGCGCCAGCAGCAGTAGTACGCAGCGTTACGAGCCACATGTGCCATTACCATACAGCTCGCTACTTCTACCGAACTTGAAGCATGAGCTAACAGCCTCTGAAGGAGGGTGGGTGTTGGTTGCAGCTCCCAGGCTCCTCCGCCGTCTTCCCTTCGCCTTCGACCATCTCCCGGACCACATCCAGCCTCGGAAGCACCGAGGCGCCCAGGAGCTCTCCGAGCCTGAGGTTCGACAGTTTGTGGTCCGGAACTCGGTGGTGGAGTCTGGTTCGGGAGAGCTGGCGTTTGTCATGTGGAACCATATAACGCGAGGTGAAGGGCGAGGCCGCAGCCGATCACTCAGGGAGGGCAGCAGCGGCAATAGTGACAGCAGTGACAGCAGTTATACCGGTGACAGTACCAGCAGACAGTTGATGCCTGACAGTCTACCCCTCGTACCAGACGCAATTCCCCCCTTTGTGTGCGGCCGGGGGGGGCACTGGCAGTGGCTGCTGCGGCAACTGGTGGTGGGGAGGCAAAGAGTGGCCGTGGATGCAACGAGTGCAGTGACAGCAGCGATGATCATGGATGGTGTTTCTGTGGAGAGAGCAGCGCACAGAGAGCGCAGCCACAGCCAATTGTGGCTGGCTGGGGGGTGTGAGCGAGGTGGGCTTGGCGCGGACTTTGGCGGAAATGGGGGAGGGGAGGGGGGGGCGGAGGGGGAAGGGGATGGGGGAAAGCGTGTGTGGGCGGGGGGAGGAGGCGGAGGGGCGTGGCACTGTGAGGTGAACAGACGGTTGGAGGAGCAGGCTGCGGAGCAGCAGAGGCGAGTGTTGGATGAGGGAATGATGGGACTGCACACTGGCAGCAGCAGCAGCAGCGGCGGGAGTGGTGTTGGGAGGAGGGAGAGTGATGAGGGAGGTGTGGATGGCAAGACAACAGGCGGCAAGAAGAAGGAGGTTCCTCAGTTCTCGGTTTCGATTCCTTCCACCATGGACCTCCCTTGGGCTGCCATGCCGTGCCATGCTACCATGAGTGAGTAGCAACCTCATGTACATGTCGCATGTGCCTGTGCGTGTTTCTGTGTGTGTGTCCTGTACTGCATGTGCATGTATGCATGCGAACTTGCATGCTCACAGCGGTGTTTGCCCACTTTGTTACCACACGGATGGGCCTGCAAACCCACAAAACTTGCCAGACCTATGGGCACGTATCCCCCCTCACCTGCCTTGGCCCATTCAGGCCTGCATGCGTGCATGTATGAATGAATCCTAACCTCATCAGCCCAGTTGAATGAACCATGTTTATCTGAATCCATCCTCCAGCTTCCCTCCTTCCTTCCTTCCACAATGCACTCCTTCATCTTCCTTCATCTGCGCTCCCCTCCCATCCGATATGTCATCATTCTTCATATCTACACCCTGGCCAACCCCTCCTCATCTCCCTTCTTTGACTCCCTTCTTCCTCTCCACGTCCCTTCGTGACTTCGTCCCACCCCCCCACCCCCCTCCCCATCACCGTTCATCAACCTCCCCCGATCCTCTCCCCGTCCTCTCCCCGTCCGCCCACAACAGCGTCTACATCCGTGTGCCTGCTTCCCCGCGTGCGCCCCTCATCCTGCCCCTGCGAGCTCGCCCCCTTTCACGGCCACACAGCATCGGACAGCATACCCGCTCCCCAAGACCCCCTCTACTTCACCTGCAGCGTGCCTGCTGCCGTCGTCTTGCACTCCGAGTCCCACCGTGCTGCATCAGCCAACCTCTCTGGTTCTAGTCCCACTCCCACTGGCTCTCAATCCAGTGGTTTCGAAGGCCAGAGCACAGCTGCTGCTGCTGTGGGAGGGGGAGCAGGAGAGGTGGAGGGGGGAGGGGGAGGGGGAGAGGGGGCGGTGGTGGTGAGGAGGGGGCATTCGCTGCAGGTGCTGCTGCCGGTGGTGGCGGACAGGCATGGCGTGGTGGTGCTGGTGGCTGTGTCCGATGGGGACCAGGACATGCTGCTCAGCTTCGTGTGCATGTGAGTCGCGGGCATGGGCATGGGCATCGGCATGGGCACGGGCGTGGCATGGGCATGGGCATGGGCATGGGCATATGGGCGTGTGGGCCTATGCTGGTATGGGTGTATGGGCATGGGAATGGTCTTTCTCGTCATGCATCATCTCCAATGGCATGTTGGAGTTTACTAGTCCCACCTCCACCACCTTCGATTTTGAACCTCTTTCGGCGCCTCTCTTCCAGAGCGCTTGCTCTCTCCAACCTCTTCTTGTCACTCATGGTGGAAGAGCAGCAGTACTAGAGAAAAGCTTTAGCAAGTAAGAAAGAGAGTAAAAAAATCATAGCTAAGAGAACTCTGATCGCAAGAAATGTATTCACTCACTCAGAACAGGTCGCAAACATGTTTCATCATAGTTTTGCTAGTCCCACCTCCACCACCTTTGATTTGAACCTCTTTCGGCGCCTCTCTTCCAGAGCGCTTGCTCTCCCCAACCTCTTTTCCCATCCTCTCCTCGTTCCTATCCTCACTCACCACCATGCCTAATCGCCAGAACCATCGAATCAATCACCCTTGCTTCTCCTCTACCCATCCCCATCCCGCCCCACCTTTCCTCCCCCACACCCACCTCCCTGTCCAATTCCCCCAGGCTGCAGCATCTCAACGTCACCAATTTTCTCATCGCAGCAATCTCCTTTGCTTCTCCTCTCCTTCCTCATTCCCCCCCCCCCCTTCCCCCCCCCTACACCACCTCCCTGTCCCCCAGGCTGCGGCATCTCAACATCACCAATTTCCTCATCGCAGCAACAGACCTCCCCATCCTCTCCTTCGCCTACCTCCACTCCCTCCCAGTCTTCCACCTCCCATCCCTCGACACCACCCCACTCTCCTCCTCCTCCTCCACCTCCTCCCTCTCCCCCGCCCACTGCACCTCCCTCACCTGCCGCCGCCGCCACTCCATGCACGTGCGCTCGCGAGCAGCTCTAGCCATAGTGCGCCTCGGCTACCACGTCGCATCCACCCTTATCGACACCGTGTGGTTCCACAACCCGCTCCCGGACCTCCTGGCCTTCGGCCCCAACGCCGTGGCCATTCAGAGCAGCGTGACGGATGTGGAGCAGCCGGCGAATAGCGTGGAGGGCACGAGCACCATGAGCACGGGGTTTTTCTTTGTGAGGGGAGAGGAGAAGTCTGCAGCGGCGCTAGCGGCGGTGGTGGCGCATGCGGGGGGGAGCCGGATGGCGGAGCATCTGAGCTTCTTCCGTGTGCTGTGTGGGGAGAATGGGCAGCTGCTGGTGAGTTAGCACAGCACGTTAGCTGCTCTTCCTACTCATGCACATCTTCCATTCCATGCACTTCTCTTGCTGCTCCCTACTTGCTTGTTCACTTCTTGCAGCCTCCGCCACTGCTTAGATCTATCCATGCTCGCCAATCATCCCCAGTGCATCATTTCCTCTTCCCCTCCCGTTCAATATGCTGCTGCCCGCATTCGCACCTGCTTTTGAGATGACTTTCAAGTCAACTCAGCTTGCATGCAATGCACTTCAACACATGTCATTCTCACCGCCTCTCCTCGACCCTCTTGCCCTCACCTCGTCTCTTATTCCACAGCTGGGCTCAGACGCCTGCCGGTCACCATCAGGGGTGAAGACTCGCCTGTTGAACCGCCGCCATTTCCCTACAGCAGCAATGTTTGGCCTATGGGACGCGGAGAACGTGAGAAGGGCGTGTGGGCGCATTGGGTGCCGCGTGCTCCCCAGCGATCACAAGCTAGGTCAGTGCTGCTCCCTGATCTGGCCTTTGTCTGGTTTTTCTTGGGGGGGTGGTGGAGGGGAGGGAGGGAGGATGAATGATCATTGGTTCTGACTGCTCACACATGTGTGTGAATCTCCTTGTTGCTGTTCCCTCCCGGTCATTAAGTCACCATGTTTCTCACCTGCTTTGGTTTATTCTCCCTCTTTATCATACCATACTTCCACCAGCTAGCCCTTAATCTCTTGTCGTCGGTGTTCGTTCCTTTGTGCCTCGCAACAGCAGACAGGGCGGAGAAATGCAGACGGTTGCAAGAACGCGGCCTGTGGTTCTTAGATTCAGGAAAAGGAACGTGTGTGTACAGATAGCACTGCGCTTACATGATTCTAAATGCTTCAAGCTGCATAATCATACGGGATTCATTATTATAGGCAGTAAAGGCCTCTTCTCTTTTTAATCACATGTGACTCGAAGAAGCCTGATATTTGTACCCACTGGGTATCTGCAATGATGTTATTGTATTTGCAGCGGACTGTGCTTTGTTATATATATTATTGTTCAATTCACAGTTCTGCCCATTGAAATGGGAGCGCCATCACATGCGGAATCCCATTGGGCGCTCAACGTGGAACATGCACAAGTGGTGTGCATAATAACAAGAGGTGTGCTTTGGCCCGGAAAACTGGCTACCTTCGCAGAAATTAACCATCTGCCTATATTTCCTGCTGAATAAACGCCAGTCGAACTGAATTTGCACACACCCATGGGACGGACAGATCCGCAACATTGCTGTGGGGGCCGGGTAAAAAATGGTGACCCTGACCAGCCTTGCTTGATCACCCTTAGGGTTGAGTACGGTGCAGTGCGTTTTCGAGTCGTTGTGAGTGAGATTCAACAAGATTGCCCATTTCCCATCCCTCAAGTCCCGGAACCTCTTTTTGCCGTCATAGTAGATTTATAAAATGCACCGTCTAATGCGACAGCCCGTCAAGCGCCACGTTTCCCCCATGGCCGTGTTCAGATTCCTCACTGGCTTCTATATCGCTACAGTATGTTTCCTCCCAGCTACGGCGTTTTATCTCCCAGGAATGTACCCCAAGGCACACGCTCCTAATGACACTCTGAACGGTAACGTTAATTCCTTGACATCTAACGAGACCGGACTGTCGTTTAGTTACTACAGCCTGCCGTTCTGCCAGCCGGAGGAGGGGATACAGCGACTGGACGAGAATTTCGGCGAAGTATTGATTGGCGACCTGATCGAGAACTCGCCGTTTAAGTTTCGCACGCTCGTCAAGCAGCGCGCCGTAAAGGCATGCGACGTGGGTCCCCTCACCGAAGCCGACGTGGAAAATCTAAAGTCCAAGATCGACGGCTTTTATCACGTCAATTTCCTCCTGGATAACCTCCCAGTTACTCTCTTCTCCCTAGAAGACAATGAAGGAGACATTCTCACTGGCATCCCCATCGGTTATAATCACAACGGCCAGTACTACCTCTACAATCACATCCTTTTCAAGGTCCTGGTGCATGAGTACGTCGAGTCCCCGGCCGCACTGGCCGGAATGTCGATGGGGTATTCCTCCGTTGACGTTTTTCCCCAGGAAGGAAGCTACGCAGATCAGGGTTCATCCCCGAACGGCACGGCGAACGGATTCGTGGTCGTGGGCTTCGAATCCGCGGCTTGCAGTATCCGCCGCTCTCCGGATCCCGCGCTACTCCACCCTCGATCCGATCGACTGTTTCAAAGGCGATCCGCAGCCCATAGCTCCCGGGGAATCCATTGTCGTCTCCTTCGACGTGCTGTGGGAGAAGAGCCCGATTCAGTGGGCGAGCCGCTGGGACGCGTACTTAAAGATGCGCGGCGATAAGGTCCACTGGTTCTCCATTCTCAACTCCCTCGTCGTCATCTCCTGCCTGGCTGCCGCGGTTTTCGCGATTCTCCTCCGATCCGTGCATCGCGATCTAGCCAGGATCAACAGCAGGGACAAGGAGGAGGCTCAGCAATTGGCGGACGAGAGCGGGTGGAAGCTGCTGGTGGGGGATATCTTTCGGTCGCCTCCTCATCCCGAGGTGCTGTGCATTATCGTGTCGAATGGCTCGCAGCTGCTGTGCATGGCAGTGGTGACAATCTTCTTTGCAGCGCTGGGGTTCATGTCTCCTGCGTCCAGGGGTGCTCTGCTTATGGGCATGGTGCTCTTCTACCTGCTTCTCAGCGTTGTTTCTGGTTACGTCGCCTCCCGCATGTGGGTAACGCTTTCTGGCGTCACTGTTGCCAGTGCCGGCGCCGGCAACAGCAGCAGCGACGGTGGCAGCAGCAGCAGCAGTCCTCTTTCGGAAGAAGCAGCAGCGACAGTTCGGGTTTTGGTGATCAAAGTAGCCTGTTTCTTCCCTGGGATCTGCGCCGTGACCCTTCTAGTCATCAATCTATTCATCTGGGCCACAGGTAGCACAGGCGCGGTGCCGTTCTCTCTGTTCTCCTACCTCTTCCTCCTCTGGTTCGTCATTTCCGTCCCTCTCACCATCCTCGGTTGCAACCTTGGCCTCAAGGAGCCGAAAATTGCCTATCCGGTGCGGACAAATCAAATCCCAAGGGAGATTCCGGAGCCGAATTACATGCCCCACTTGGGCTTTGAGGGCTATGGAAGCTACACCCCCTGGTTTCTTATCCTAGCTGGGGGCATCCTCCCATTTGGCACCCTTTACATTGAGCTCTACTTCATCATGTCTTCGATGTGGATGCAGAGGGTGTACTATGGGTTTGGATTCCTCTTCGTCGTCCTCATCCTACTCATGCTGGTGTGCGCAGAAGTGGCTGTTGTCTTCACATACTTCCAGCTCACCATGGAAGATTACCGCTGGTGGTGGCGAAGTTTATTCGCCTCAGGGTCGGTTGCGTGTTACGTGTTCCTCTTCTGTGTTTTGTACCTTGTGGTGGACTTACGACACATGCGCAGCCTGCTTTCCGCCACCATATTCCTCTGTTACTCCCTGCTCATGTCCCTGGCAATCTTCCTCGCAACTGGGACCGTTGGGTTCTTCTCATCTGCATATTTTGTGTACTATCTTTTCTCATCCGTCAAACTTGACTAGTGTATGCTCGTCGTGGGGTACGACGAGTACGCCTTACACTTTTCTCAATTGGCGTAATATATTGTGATAGTACCGTGTACTGCATCCCAAGTTCTACCATACCATTTGTTCACTATTTTTACTCGGTTGTATGCTGTAAAATGATTTAAAACATTTTGTATGAGCAGAAGTTGAACGCTGCAGCCGGTGTACCACTTATATGTGACTGCGTGCAATCGGAAGTCGATTTCAGTCAAACCCAGTATCCACAACAAGTGAAACCTTGGCCAATCATGCGCCTCTAAATTCCTTGGACGGCATATTCTTCAGTCCCCGTGTGATCCGCCGAAAACTAGGTTGGGCGTTCTCCCCACTGAAGCCCCCTCGACGAAAGCTGATTGGACTGCTGCTCAGGGCTGACGGTTTCCACTCCACATGGCCCTCGTGCCAGCTCAGGGTTCCATTGGGTGGGGCAATTCTTAGGGGTGTCTCCGTGTCAAGTCCCAACTTTGTTCTGACACGAGTTCCACGTGGAAGCATAAACTTGGCAGGCGTAGCGACCAAAAGCTGTAACCTACACGTCATTCTTGCTTTAAAAATGCGTTTGATGACCAGGTCCTATCTACCTTGCCACGTTGCTAGTAGGTGCAGTTGTGTTCCTCAAGCAATTTCGTGGCCGACGTAACGCCGGAAGTCGGTGGATTTTGTTATTGCTGACAGCAGCAGCGGGCCTTTGGGGCGCGCCTCGATCGCGTTCTGCTCGCCGCAGCCGAAAACTCCCGCAATGTTCGAGAATTTTGTTCAATTCCGCGGAAGCGCGGTTTTATTTATTTTCGCCACGTGGCGAGCCTATGATCGCGTGAACCGCGATCTGATTTATTGTTATCACAAACTTCAAGAGAAATTTAGTTAAGTTCTCTACTGCACTGCCCGCGGGCAAAAATAAAACCCCTATGGGTAAGGCATGCGTTAGGGATGCATCAACCCTAAACACCTAGAGGCAAGGTGTTTAGGGTTGATGCCTCCCTAACGCATGCCAGGCCCGAATGGGTTTTATGTTTGCCCGCGGGCAGAGCAGTACAGAACTTAACTAAATTTCTCTAGAAGTCTGTGATAACAATAAAACAGATCGCGGTTCACGCGATCGAAGGCATGCCGCGTGGCGATAACAAAACGAACCGCGACTCCGCGGAATTGAGCAAAACTCTCGCAATGTTCTCTGTCCCGCAACACACACCATCCACTCCCCTTCCACCCTCCTCACTCTCACCCCCTTTTCCTCACTCGCCTCGCCAATCGTCGCACGCGGTTCGCCGTCAAGATGTACTCCCTTCGATTCGATCTCACCCTTCGATCGCATCGGTCGCGTGCGACTCTCTGCGATTACAGCAAATCGTAATTTCCTCTCGCATGCGTCGTGTAGCACCCAAAACTCTCGCATTGATTCTCTCCGTCACCACACACTCCACCGCCTGAGCGCATGGAGCAGCATTTCTCTCCTTCCCCCTCGCTTGCAAGTGCCTCCCTGCACTTGCAGAGGATCCAGCCACCAGACACTCATCCTGCGCGCTCTGTATTTTAGCCTTCGCAGACCATGTCGAGGCATTCGATTGAACGAGCTACGAACACCATAGCAATAATGGTGCTTTCGGCCGGACCATATTGGAAAGTTGTTACGATCACGGGGTCACTGTCCACAATTGCCCCTCAATAATCGCTCACTCCTTGTTAGCGTGCCGAACCGCGCACATTGATTTCCTAGCCAACTAGATTTTATCAGTGTCACCTAGAGCTCCTCTCGTTAGAAATACAAGGGCGCTAATTAGTTAAGCTTAGAAGGTGAAATTGGAGCAATTGCCCAAAGCCATGAGTTGCAGCACGTGCAACATCGCCCAACACGTGGCGGCCCTCCACTGCGCCGACACGGAGGCCACAGCCGTTTCGTCCGCATGCGCACGGCATAGCGCCGTCGATCCCCATCCCCACTCTCATCCCCTCCCGCGCATCTGCTCCGTCGCAAGTTGCCGGAGCGCCAGCAACATAATCATCGCAGACGCAGCAGTTATGGCCGACGCCATGTTACCGTCATTCGCGCCGAATTGCGCGCACGTTGCGGGGAAGCTTCTGGCTCCGCCGTCCCTATCCACGCCTCGCTCGTCGGCTTCTTCCACGCCCCTCCCCATGTCGCTCTCATCGCCCTCCGTCTCTGCTGCTTCCGTCGCCACGCCTTGTCTCTCGAGCTCCCCATCTGCGCCGCTTCTCGATCGCGTGCCGACCGTCTCGACCAGGTAACCCCTGTCTATTCCGAGAGCGTTTGTTAGAATTCTCAGATATTTCCCAGCTCACCAGCTGCTTCCCTTTAAGGCTTTATGCCGTTCGTTATTTTCCTCTTTATGTCGTTCCGATCTTGCTGCTTGTGCTCCACTCCCCTTCCTATCTCCTATGCGCACCTCTACCAGCCGTTTCCGGGTTTATAACCCAGCACTGAAGTTTCCATGTGGTAACCACGTGGCCCTATCATGCCCTTACCTCGTTGACTATCACATGTCGCTATTTCACAACTTATTTGTTCGCGTATAAACGATCCCCATCCCGACTCCCCTCCCACCCTTCCTGGATCTGTCCTCCCACCAGCCTCCCGCAATTCGCGCCTCTCTTCGTGGAACCACCGCCGCCGTCATTGCTGCCACCGCCGCCGCAATCACCGCGAACGGCGCCGCCCCAAGCTTCGCAACCGCCGCCGCCATCGCCGGTGAAGCCGAAGCAACAAAGCGCGAAAAGCGAGAAAACCGGGAAGAGTTGGACTGCTGCGGTGACGTTCGGCGTAGGTTCGAGCATCGGAGTGGCAGCCATGGTCGGCGTGCGCTTCGCAGGCTACGGCGCGCAGCCGTCTCTTCTCGACCTCTTCTCGTCGCTCGGCGTTCCGCTCTATATAAGGATGGTCGAGGCCTGCGCGTTGTCCCTCTGGCACCTCTCTTCCGCCCTCTCCTTCCCTCTCTCTCTCCCAGTGTCGTCACTCTCCCCTTCTCTCGACCGACCTTTCAACTTCCTCCTCCTCCTCTTGCTCACCGCTCTTTGCGCCGCTGGTGCCGCGCTTCTTTTACCACCCTCTACTTCCGCCCACGGCGCAGCTTCGCGGGTAGGAGAGCGGAGCGGGGCGGGGGTCAGCGGGAGGATCGGCGGTGGCGGCGGCGGTGTCGGTGACGGCGAGGGATTGAGGGGGAGCAATAGCGACGCGAGCGCAGCGGCAGAGGCGACAGACTTAGCAGAAACGGCAGGGCAGTCGGGGTTAGCCACAGAGATGGGCGGAGCCGCGATTACAGTGGTCGATGCGATTGCGTCATCTGCGCCCGCGGGAGCGGCGCGGAGGAGCGAGGGAGGCTGGTGGTGGGGCAGTGGCTGGTGGTGGCGCGTGAGTGTTGACCCCACGGTTGGTGGCGCGGCGGACGGTGCGACGGACGTGTTGCGCGAGGGACTGGGCTCCGGTGTAGGTGGAGGAGCAACCGCAGCAGCAGCAGCAGCCGCCGCGAGGATGACGAGGAAAATCGGCAATCTGAGCGTCGAGTGAGTCAGGATTTCCTTCTGTTCCTCTCCCCCTTACCCCCACTCTCCCCCAACTCCCTCTCTCCCGTTCTCCTGCTCTCCTCGTCCCCTCGCGCCTGTCGTGTTCATCGTGAGTGCTTGCGCTCTGTGCGGCTTGACTCGATTGTCCCGTCCCGTCCCACCAGGTTGCTTTACCCTGCTTCCACAACATTCCCCACCAATTCCCTCTGTCACAGCTATCTAAACCCCCTTCTCAATCCCTCACCCCCTCACCCCCCCGCCCCTCCTTCTCTGTCCCCCCCCCCACCTTTCAGAGTTCCCGAGGCCTTCTTTCTCTCCGCGCCCCACCAGCCTTCCCCCTCGTCCGCGTCTCCCCGCGTGTCCTCGCCCTTCTTCACAGCATCATCGCCCTCGTCTCAGCGCATCGCCTTGCTCCACCGCGCAGCTGATGCCGCCGCCGCCAGCGCCGCTGCCAGCGCCGCCCTGCTCTCCCCGCTTGCCACGTGTCCAGCCACTGATGCCGCCACTGCTGGCGCTGCTCCGGCCGACGCTGATGGTGCAGCGGCGGCGGCGGCGGCAGCAGCAGCAGCAGCAGCAGCAGCAGCAGCGGAAGCGTTTATGGAGAGTGACAGGGGCGAGGTGAACTCGGGAGACCTGGCAGATCTGATGCTGCACCTGGACTGGTCGTATGACGACGGGCTGGGCCGCTGGGACAGGATCATAGACAGGGAGAGTGACGATGTGCAGTACGAGGCTTGGAGGCGCGACCCTAAGGTAAAGGTTTCTGACATACTAGAGACAATATCTCTTTTTTCTTTTGTTTCCCCCCTTCAACCCTAAACTCCTCTGAAGCTGCATAGCGCAACTTAACATGGGTTCGGGATGTTGTGCCACGTGCCTCACTCTCTTCCTTTCCCCCCCACTCACTCCTCTCTCGCAGAATGGCGGCCCGACAGAGTACCACACGCTCACGCGCTTTCCCGGCATGCCAGCGCGGCTGGTGGCAGCATATTACACGGATTGCACATACCACCTGCAGCACCAGTGCGACCCCGTGCTCAAAGCCTTCTCCCCGCTCTCTGCCTGCCCCGTCACAAGCGTGCACAAGGGCAGGTTTGAACGAAAATACCCGCTCTGTGCTGCCCGGGAATATGTTTTAGCGTGGAAGGTGTGGGAGATGTGGGGGGGGAGTGGAGGTGGAGGCGGTGGGAAGGAAAGGGAGGGGGAGGAGGAGGGAGGGGTGAGGGGAGTGGAAGGAGGGGAGGTGGTGTTCTGTGTGACGAAGGCAGTGGAGGATGAGACTGTGCCACGCAAGTCGAAGCCGAAGCGGGTGGATATTTACAACTGCGGATGGAGAGTGCAGGATGGTGCGTGCTCTGTGAGAGGAACCTTGCTTAACCTGGCTCGACCATACTCCACCGTGCTCAACCTCACTCGGCTTTGCTCCCACCGCACTCTCTCCACTGCATTCCTACTGTCCTGTGCATTTTGTTCCTTCATATCGTATGCACATCTTACTGGTTCAAACAGCACAAGCCACCCTCTCAATCCCCTCCTTCTCAACCTGTCCTTTCTCTGTGCCCTTCCCTCCCCGCTCCCTCACTCTCTCCCCTGTCTCTCCTCGCCAGTTATCCTGCCGGACGGGCGAAAAGCAGCCGAGATAGAGATGGTGGTGAGGGATGACTGTGGCATTCAGAGGGACATGGCCAAGATGGCGTTCAGGCGCGGCGCATGGGGCTACGTCTGCAACACACTCGCACACATCCGGGGGTATGCGCAGCTGCACCCGCACCTGCTGCTGCCTCCGCCTGCTCCCCCCTCGGCTGGGTTTGAGGCGCTGCTAGGGGAGAACAGTGTGCAGCAGCAGCAGCAGCAGCAGCAGCAGCAGCAGCAGCAGCAGCAGGGGCAGGAGCAGGAGGAGGAGGAGGAGCGGGCGAAGGAAATGGACAGGGTGCAGCAAACCGTGTTGTTAAGCAAGGAGGGCAGCAGCAGCAGCAGAGTTGTTGACCAAGATGGCATGTTCCCTGCAGGAGACACGGCAGCAGCAGCAGCAGCAGCAGCTCGTGTTGCTGCACAGGCAGAGGTGTCGACGACACTAGCAGCATTGTCAGCTTCAACATCAGGAGCAGGTGAAGCAGGTGCGGCTCTGAGTTGGTCCCTTGCTGCCCAGGCATCGCTGCCACGCCTCCTGCGCTTCACACCTCGCCCTGGCCTCTCCCTCTCGCGGGCATTCAGCTGCCTCCGCTCCGCTGCTGCCGCCACTGCTGCCGGAATCGGCAGCAGCAGAAGCTTCTTCGCTGCAGCCCCAGCACCAGGCTCCTCAGCAGCACTCTCATTGGCGTCAGCATCAGGGCCAGGAGGCTCAGGACTGGGATCAGCAGCAGGGGCTTCCATGGCCCGAACTTCTGATGGCAAACGGGTGCTGCTGCTGAGGGGAGTCGTGCCTGTAGTGGCGGTGGCAGCTATGGGGCTCGGTGTAGGGGGGTTGCTTGTGGTGCATTGCGGTGCGGCTGGAGCAGCATCCAAGGTGCTTCTTGCTTGCACCCTGAGGTCCATGTGGGTGGGGGCGCAGCGGGAGAGTCCCCAGGAAGGCCCCTCCCAGGCTGGCCGCAAGGAGCCAAGGAAATAAGGGAATAGCGCAATAAGGATGGAATAAGAGTGGGGGGAATAGCGAAGCGCGACCCATCAGCAGCTGCTTTTTTGGCCCTGCTCTGAATCGGAGACGAGATCGGGCAGTGGGAAAGGGCTGCTGGCTGGCCGGTGCGGAGATAGATAGTGGCTGTAGATAGAGGTGTATGTATGTATGCCTGCCAACCAATAAAAGTGCTCCTGTGCAGCTGGCGCAAGGTGCAGCTCCTCTAGCTAGTGTGCTGGGGCGTGTTTTTTAGTGCTGTCAGAGTGCTGCTGGCTGTGAGCATAAATGTCTGCATTCTTTTGTTTATATGTACCGGTAGTAGAAAATCTGTTTTTGGTGGGGTACCAAAAATACATGTTTGTTTCTTCTTTGTTGATAAGTATAATGCCGTGTGTGTACCAAGAGAACCAAACCAGCAGTACCCCACTTGGATGGCCAGGACCTAGGCTCCCTAGAGTCTAGGCATCCTGTTATTCCTCGGTTGCGTTTGCATAGAGCCTGCTGGCGATATGCTAAAGAAAGGGTTTGTTATATTTTATGTGTGTGGGTCGTGTCTAAATATGCAGGGGCTGTGTACTTGTTCAATCATTAGAACGAGTTTGATCTATAGAATAAATGGTAGCTAAGCTAAATTATTAGATTGTCACTCAGATTGCTTGTAACGAAGATATCTGAGGGGAACTGCACCAACTGTGGCAAAGCTGAATCGCAAAACGGGGAACCTACTACCAGAGCGTAGACCTTTCATCAATTTCTTTTCAAGTGTAGACCTCCGCTCAATAGTGGTTTGGTGTGACCTTGTGCTGTACACACCAGTTGGCGCGCAATGGTCGTTGGATCATGACATGCCTATTCTGTAATGTACAGTACGATCAAACCGCTGTTGTGCGGGAGGGAAATGTGATGTGACAGACAAGACATGGGGGTTTTACTTCCACTGAACGAACCGTTGAGCAGTAGGTCACAGCGATGACGTGTATGAGCTCGTTCGCCAGCGCATGGGTGTCAGGTGGCGCTGTAGCAGCACTCGTCGTCACCTCACCAGACCAGAGCACTAGACGACTGTTCGCTGATGGTGAAACGCGTGGATCTCAACTTCATCCACACATGTCATCAACGGTGTCAGCACCACGTGAGGCATATCCCACGACTGAAAGAAGTACACATGATGCCTGATTGAGCTCCTCCCGGTTGCCTTGTGAAGGGGGCGTATAAGATGTATCGTACATTTCGCATAAGTTTCGTCAATTCGTAGCTAGCTAAAAAGGATTCGCAGGTGCTTATATAAAGGATCTGTAACCTTATTCGTTGACATTTTGACTTCAGTCTCTTCAGTTTGACTTCAGTCTGTTCGCTACTATTGGTTCATAACCACGCGACGCGCTTGTAACGTGGGTGCAACAGGGTGGGGAAAAAAACATCGGGTGCAGCGTTTCCGTCCGGTGAAGAGCAAATTCGCGTGCATGGGGTGGGCATCACCTGACGGTTGTGTGACACAAGCAAGGCAACGCCGCAGAAATTCGAGTGGTTGAGTCCCACTGGTTGGCTGGCTGTCTGTCAAGGGTGTAACCGAATTTTGTTTTAAACGTTCCCTTTGCGTATTATTTTCCTCGAACAAAACGTAACAGCACTAGGTCGTGTCTTCTGAGACCCACTGACTTCTTCGGTGTAGTCACGAAACGCTGAAGATGATACACGTTCTTTGACGCTTTGCATTGTCTTAGAGAGACCCACTGTAGTATCATGTCTGTACAGACACCTTTTCCAACTCTGTACAAGACTTGGGGTCGTTAGCTCACTGCTCCTGATTTTGTTTTCTGTACTGTTTGCAAAAACCGGTTCGGGGGGCACCTTCACACCCCCCCCCCCCCCTCCTCAAAATCCCGCCAGCTCTCACATGCGCAATGGCGGAATGTTGGGAGGGAGGGTGTGGGAAGGAAGGACGCAATTGCCGTTGAAAGGGGGTGCGACAACGAAACGAAACGCACCAGTCGCAGAAGCGAAGATGAAGGAAGGTCGACGTCCTCGTGCGACAGGTCAGCGCAGATCAACACAGAATCCAGGGAGGGTTTGTGCGGCGCGCAATGTGAGCAAAATGTGGTCAAGGTGGGTCGGGAAAATGTGTGCTTGGAGGGGAGCGGAGGGGGGGTTAGAGTGGGGGTGATGCCCAGAAGGGAGGAGGGGCCCATTGAGCGACCGCCAGTCGAAGTGAACAACAGCAAGCGAGCGAAGAAAAGGGTTCGCGGGTGGGTGCATTTGCCTGGTTCGGCGGTGAGATCAGCACAAGAGTCGATCGAGACCGCCAGCAGCGAAACTCGACGGGGTTGGATGAGATGCGAGGGACGGAAATAGATGGCGGTGGTAGGGACGCCAACGAGACGCATTTTCACCCGTTCTTCCTCCTCGTCACCTCTTCGTCAGCGTTGCTTCTTCTGTCCCTCAGCCCCGTTTCCTCGCACATCCTCATTCCCATCAGCATATTCGCTCACTGTAGCTGCTCGCTGGTTCTGAACTTCTGATGCACGCGTGCTTCGTCACCTGTAATTGCGTGGTGTCGTTCAAATCCCCGCCTCGCCTCCTCGCCCCGCCACGCCTCGCCTCCTGCTGCCGCTCGAAACGGATTGCAGAGGGACTCAATTTTTGTTTCAAGCCCTCCGTTCTTGATCTTCCTGCTCCTTCCTCGTCTTCGCCTTGCCTGCCCCTCCTTCCTGCAATGTTCGAAAGCTCCCCAAGTTTCTGTCCCATCCCATTCGTTTCTCTAATCTCCAAGCTAGAACCGCATTCATCTTAATCTCCGCGCGGTCGTTGCTGGACTATATTTTTTACTAAATCTTCCTTTCCAAACCGCCTTTGGTTATGCCATGGGTAACGCCTGTTCCTCAGTCTTTCCGCGCGACCATGAGGACGACCTCTGCGACGTCGCACAACAACGTCGCAATACCTCACACACAGAAACGGAGCATCCTCGCCCGCCTGCCGCCTCAGCGAAGCCCACGTGTCCCTCAGCAGTGTACGCGACTGACGTGGCAAGGCGATCCGCAGCCGACAAAATCTCCCTCCGCCGCCGTTGGCTGGGCAGCAGCCGTCAAATTTGCGACCCCAAATCGCGATCAAAATCACAGCCATCCAAATACCACACCAGATCCAAATTGACGGCACGTGGTGCTCAAAAAGCGCCTCTCGCTGCGGCAGTTGCGGGCAGGAGTCTGCTAGAACGATACGACTTAGACCGACCTCTGGGTGAAGGCAAATTCGGGTCCGTGCGCGTTTGCCGGGCGAAATTTGGCCCGGATGCGGGACTGGAATACGCGTGCAAATCGATCGCGAGGAGCAGCGCGCCGAGTATGGTTGTCGCACACGGCGGTGCCAAAGGAACGGGAAACGCGATTTCCCCGTTTACAAGCCCGTATCCGTATTCTCCCTCTGCCACCCGCAACAGCGGCGGTAGCAGCAACAGCAACGGCACTAGCAATAGCAGTAGCAGCAGCAGTGGCAGCAGCAGTAGCGGTAGCGCGGGTGGTTCGACATGTGGCAGCACCTGCTACGGCAGCGACAGCGACAGCGGCAGCAGCAGCAACAGCGGCGCGATGAGCGACTTGATGTGTGATTGCCACGGGTGCTCGTCCGGACCGCTCCACCTCATGACGCCCGGCTCGCCCCTGTCGCGAACGACTTCCGCGTCTTGCGGATCCACGCCCTGCAGCACTCTCACCTCGCCCGCTCGCGCAGGCGCAGGCGGCGCCGCCGCCTCAGCGGCAGCGGCAGCGGCAGCGGCGGCAACGGCGGCGGCGGGTGCTGCGGGATTGCAAACGGCGCTGACGGAGATGGTGGTGCTGCGACTGTTGCAAGGTGTCGACGGCGTCGTGCGACTGCACGACGTGGTGGACGACGGCCCTGCGACGTCGCACTGTCACATCGTCATGCAGCTCTGTCGGGGTCCCAGCCTCCACGACTACATCGCCTCCAAGGTACGTCCCTCCGTACATACGTACGTACGTTCAGATCACGGTAGTTTCAAAGTATCTCGGAAATAAGTGTAAGACGTACTGAGCTTCTTCAAATATCAAGAGTTTCAGCCCGCCACTAACCTTTGCTTCCCTTCCCATCTTCCCCATCTGTACCTCTCCCTCTCCTTCCTCTCTCCCCTCCCCTCCCCGGCCTCCGTCCGCCCGTCCGTCTGCGCGCAGGGCGCGGTGAGCGAGGCGGAGGCGGCGCGGCTGATGCGCGCAGTGATGCGCGTGGTGGCGGAGTGCCACGCGCGCGGCGTGGTGCATCGCGACGTGAAGGCCAGCAACTTCCTCTTCCTTTCCGCATCCCCCGCCGACTCTCCCCTTGTCGCCATTGACTTCGGCCTCGCCGCCTTCTGCCGCCCAGACGAGCGCCTGCGTGACGTGGCGGGCAGCCCGTGCTACGTGGCGCCGGAGGTGCTGAAGCGGCAGTCGGGGCGCGGGTACGCGCACTCCGCGGACGTGTGGAGCGCGGGCGTGCTCTTCCACCTGCTCCTCTCCGCGCGCCTGCCCTTCGACGGCCGTGAGTGCTCGCACCGCCCCGCTCCTTTCATGTCAACCCCGCTTCCCACTCCCCCCACTCCATGTCACACCCCCGCCCCCGCCCACTCCCCCTCCGGCATGCTAGCAACTCCATGCTCGTGCTCAATCTCATTCGCCTCCATCCTGGCATCTGCCTCACTCCCTCATCCTTCGTTTCTCGTCGCGCCCTCCTCACTCCTTCCCCCTCTCTCCCCCACGGCAGCCAGCATAGTGGATGTGTTCAGAGCCGTGGCGAGTGCGCCGTTGGATCTGGAATCGGGGGCGCCATGGGCGCGCGTGTCCGCGGAGGCCAAGCACCTGCTCGCCTCCATGCTCTCCCGCGACCCTGACGCGCGCCCCACAGCGCAGCAAGTCCTCGGTGAGTTGAGATCTCTGTGCGGTGCGGTGCGGTGCAGTGCGGGTGCGGTGCGGCCTGGTGTGGTGTGGTGTGGTGAGTCGAGATTACACTGCTTCTCTGTGTCTTGTTACCGATTTTTTCCCCTGCATCTGCCTGCCTGCCTGTTTCAGTCGCCGTCCTCCTCCTCCTCTGTTACTCCTCTCCCACTCCACTCCTCCTCCCAGTGCCAATGCCCGTTTCTAACCTTTCCAACCATGCCCGTCTCCTGTCCCCCTGGACTGGACCCTCGCCACATCCCCTTGCCCTCTGCGTTTCAGAGCACAAGTGGTTTCAGATGCACTCCTCTGCAGAATGCTGACCGCCACTGTTACCGTCATCATCGTCTTGTCCTCCTCAGCTTCACCACCCCAATAACGCAATCAACGCCAGCTGCTGCTGCTGCTGCTGCTGCTGCTGCCACGGGTGAAGCTCCCGCACAGGAACGCCCTCAGTCTGGCCCCTCGCACGGATGGACACCCAGCAGACAGCTTCCAGGTGTTATTTTGAGTTGAATAAAAAAGCTCCCGCACTGGCAGACCTTGATGCCAGACCTTTGCATCCCTGGACATAGATCAGGCAGCTGCCAGCCATTGTCAACCCATGGCTAACCCACTCAGCCGCCTCACCAACCGCACCAAACCCCTCCAGCCATCCAAACCGCCTCTTTCAAACGCTGCCTGTCTCACTGCCCTGCTCCTCGTGACTGGAGGCTGGAAGGGGTACTGTCACCAGCAACAACACACCAATTGTGTGAACCATGGATCCTAGCGCCTCCCAGTGGCCCTAGGCTAACCTCTTTTCGGTGGTCCAATGCCCATGGCCCATTGCAAGTGGGATATGGCTGTTCTGTGTGTGTACATAGAGCCACCTGGAATGTGGCACTGAAATGTGTCACCACGGTGGCATTCAAAAGGGTATGGTGGCGGGCAGCTAAGGTGGCACCGCCACTAGCTGTTGGAAGTGCCACATAGGGAGCACGGAGTATCATGGCGGAGGGGAGGCTTCTGCTCGGGGTGCTCCCAGGCTTGGGGGAGTACAGGGCCGCTGGGGCGTGCGTCAGTGAGTGGTGGGGTTGGCTGATAAAGCAGTGTGGAGGGTGGTGGTGGAGGATGGAAGGTAGAGAGGCCATAGCAGCAGCAACAGCAGGAGCAGCAGCAGCAGCAGGGCAGCACGGTCTCATCCACCGTCCTGTAATTCAATCCCACGGAACCCAACCCCATGTCACGTCACGTGGTGGCCTCTGCAGGCGCTCATGCCATGCACGCTCACATTCCCCTCACTTCCACACGTGCCTGATCAGTGGCTTGAACCTTCGATGCATTGCATGGCTCTGTGCCATGCGGGTACGTACCATCTCACCTGTAAATCACATCCTTTCTGCATGCTTGTATATAGCTTGACTACTGGATTATGTGCTGTTTGGGTGGGCTGGGCTGTCCCTTTGCCTCCATTTCCACAGCCCTCGTACCGTATCTCTCAATAGGAACCTATATTGTTTCCTGCTTTATTTATTCCAAATAAGCTCGCATCGCAAGCTGCTTCTCTGCCTTTCCTGTATATACTGGGTATATAATTGCGGCATACGCCGACGAAACCCTTCCTGCCATTTGCTAAGCTGAGGGGTGTAGGTGAAAACTACTTATTTACACAAGCAAACAGGAAACAACAGTCATGCAGTGACAAAACCACCTGCCATCTGCTTGTGAGATGGACCGTGCTGTGCTTCTTAAGAATAGTCCGAAAGCAACTCATCTCCCTTGCCCCCTCCTCCCGTACTAGCCTGGCCCTGTTTCCAGCCAAGCCTCTACGATGTCTCTATAAGAGCGGTAGTACCTGGACGAGGAGTGCGGAGGGCGGGATGACTTTCGAGTCGACTCAAATGCCTGGCCCTGTTTCCAGCTAAGCCTCTACGATGTCTCTATATGGACGGTAGTACCTGCACGTGGCGTGGAGGGTGGGAACAGATATGGCAAAAGGATTGCTGTGAGGCGGTAAGGTGTGCCGCAATCCGATAATGGTGTCCAAATGGCACGCGCATACACTGTCAGAGTCCCAGTCACTAGACCACTAGGATAAAAGGGCTTGTTAAGTAGCGGGTCAGTGCGCCCATAACCCTCCAGGACAACGAGCCTGTAACCCTTCCCTAGGATCAATCGGGGATCTCGAGTGGACCTCTGACACCCCCCCGCACTGGGATGACCGAAGTGCACACACTGGGATTCGAACCCGAGACTTTCGCTCTGATACCATGTCAGAATCCCAGTCACTAGACCACTGGGATAAAATGGCTTGTTAAGTAGCGGGTCAGTCCGCCCATAACCCCCCAGGACAACGAGCCTGTAACCCTTCCCTAGGATCAATCGGGGATCTCCAGTGGACCTCTGACATGCACGTGGCTTATGATCGTGCGTGTGTGTGTGTGCGTGCATGCGGCATGGCCACATGCGTTAATGAACAAATGCAAGCATGGTGAACGCACAGTTCGTGAGCGCGAGTGTAGAGGTGTGAGAGTGAGAGAGTGGGGAAGGGAAGGATGGACGGAATGTGCAAATGGATAAAAGGAGGTGGACTGTAGGGAGCAGGAGAGAGAGGGGGAGAGAGAGAAAGTGAGAGTAAGGGGGGGGGAGGGGAGGAGGAGGAGAGAGAAAGGGAGAGAGAAATGGAGGGAGAGGGAAGGGAAGGTACCATGCTTGGAAGTCACAGTCCCACCACTCGATCATGAGATTGTCCTCCAGGAAGTGGAACATGTGCGGCACCCTGTGTGCGGGGGTGCAGATGGCGGCATGCACATGGAGATGGCGGCATGCACATGGAGATGGCGGCATGCACATGGAGATGGCGGCATGCACATGGAGATGGCGGCATGCACATGGAGATGGCGGCATGCACATGGAGATGGCGGCATGCACATGGAGATGGCGGCATGCACATGGAGATGGCGGCATGCACATGGAGATGGCGGCATGCACATGGAGATGGCGGCATGCACATGGAGATGGCGGCATGCACATGGAGATGGCGGCATGCACATGGAGATGGCGGCATGCACATGGAGATGGCGGCATGCACATGGAGATGGCGGCATGCACATGGAGATGGCGGCATGCACATGGAGATGGCGGCATGCACATGGAGATGGCGGCATGCACATGGAGATGGCGGCATGCACATGGAGATGGCGGCATGCACATGGAGATGGCGGCATGCACATGGAGATGGCGGCATGCACATGGAGATGGCGGCATGCACATGGAGATGGCGGCATGCACATGGAGATGGCGGCATGCACATGGAGATGGCGGCATGCACATGGAGATGGCGGCATGCACATGGAGATGGCGGCATGCACATGGAGATGGCGGCCATGCACATGGAGATGGCGGCATGCACATGGAGATGGCGGCATGCACATGGAGATGGCGGCATGCACATGGAGATGGCGGCATGCACATGGAGATGGCGGCATGCACATGGAGATGGCGGCATGCACATGGAGATGGCGGCATGCACATGGAGATGGCGGCATGCACATGGAGATGGCGGCATGCACATGGAGATGGCGGCATGCACATGGAGATGGCGGCATGCACATGGAGATGGCGGCATGCACATGGAGATGGCGGCATGCACATGGAGATGGCGGCATGCCCACATGGAGATGGCGGCATGCACATGGAGATGGCGGCATGCACATGGAGATGGCGGCATGCACATGGAGATGGCGGCATGCACATGGAGATGGCGGCATGCACATGGAGATGGCGGCATGCACATGGAGATGGCGGCATGCACATGGAGATGGCGGCATGCACATGGAGATGGCGGCATGCACATGGAGATGGCGGCATGCACATGGAGATGGCGGCATGCACATGGAGATGGCGGCATGCACATGGAGATGGCGGCATGCACATGGAGATGGCGGCATGCACATGGAGATGGCGGCATGCACATGGAGATGGCGGCATGCACATGGAGATGGCGGCATGCACATGGAGATGGCGGCATGCACATGGAGATGGCGGCATGCACATGGAGATGGCGGCATGCACATGGAGATGGCGGCATGCACATGGAGATGGCGGCATGCACATGGAGATGGCGGCATGCACATGGAGATGGCGGCATGCACATGGAGATGGCGGCATGCACATGGAGATGGCGGCATGCACATGGAGATGGCGGCATGCACATGGAGATGGCGGCATGCACATGGAGATGGCGGCATGCACATGGAGATGGCGGCATGCACATGGAGATGGCGGCATGCACATGGAGATGGCGGCATGCACATGGAGATGGCGGCATGCACATGGAGATGGCGGCATGCACATGGAGATGGCGGCATGCACATGGAGATGGCGGCATGCACATGGAGATGGCGGCATGCACATGGATGGAGATGGCGGCATGCACATGGAGATGGCGGCATGCACATGGAGATGGCGGCATTGCACATGGAGATGGCGGCATGCACATGGAGATGGCGGCATGCACATGGAGATGGCGGCATGCACATGTAGATGGCGGCATGCACATGGAGATGGCGGCATGCACATGGAGATGGCGGCATGCACATGGAGATGGCGGCATGCACATGGAGATGGCGGCATGCACATGGAGATGGCGGCATGCACATGGAGATGGCAGCATGCACATGGAGGATGGCGGCATGCACATGGAGATGGCAGCATGCACATGGAGATGGGATGGCGGCATGCACATGGAGATGGCGGCATGCACATGGAGATGGCGGCATGCACATGGAGATGGCGGCATGCACATGGAGATGGCGGCATGCACATGGAGATGGCGGCATGCACATGGAGATGGCGGCATGCACATGGAGATGGCGGCATGCACATGGAGATGGCGGCATGCACATGGAGATGGCGGCATGCACATGGAGATGGCGGCATGCACATGGAGATGGCGGCATGCACATGGAGATGGCGGCATGCACATGGAGATGGCGGCATGCACATGGAGATGGCGGCATGCACATGGAGATGGCGGCATGCACATGGAGATGGCGGCATGCACATGGAGATGGCGGCATGCACATGGAGATGGCGGCATGCACATGGAGATGGCGGCATGCACATGGAGATGGCGGCATGCACATGGAGATGGCGGCATGCACATGGAGATGGCGGCATGCACATGGAGATGGCGGCATGCACATGGAGATGGCGGCATGCACATGGAGATGGCGGCATGCACATGGAGATGGCGGCATGCACATGGAGATGGCGGCATGCACATGGAGATGGCGGCATGCACATGGAGATGGCGGCATGCACATGGAGATGGCGGCATGCACATGGAGATGGCGGCATGCACATGGAGATGGCGGCATGCACATGGAGATGGCGGCATGCACATGGAGATGGCGGCATGCACATGGAGATGGCGGCATGCACATGGAGATGGCGGCATGCACATGGAGATGGCGGCATGCACATGGAGATGGCAGCATGCACATGGAGATGGCAGCATGCACATGGAGATGGCGGCATGCACATGGAGATGGCGGCATGCACATGGAGATGGCGGCATGCACATGGAGATGGCGGCATGCACATGGAGATGGCGGCATGCACATGGAGATGGCGGCATGCACATGGAGATGGCAGCATGCACATGGAGATGGCAGCATGCACATGGAGATGGCAGGCATGCACATGGAGATGGCGGCATGCACATGGAGATGGCGGCATGCACATGGAGATGGCAGCATGCACATGGAGATGGCAGCATGCACATGGAGATGGCAGCATGCACATGGAGATGGCAGCATGCACATGGAGATGGCGGCATGCACATGGAGATGGCGGCATGCACATGGAGATGGCAGCATGCACATGGAGATGGCAGCATGCACATGGAGATGGCAGCATGCACATGGAGATGGCGGCATGAACATGGAGATGGCGGCATGCACATGGAGATGGCGGCATGCACATGGAGATGGCGGCATGCACATGGAGATGGCGGCATGCACATGGAGATGGCGGCATGCACATGGAGATGGCGGCATGCACATGGAGATGGCGGCATGCACATGGAGATGGCGGCATGCACATGGAGATGGCGGCATGCACATGGAGATGGCGGCATGCACATGGAGATGGCGGCATGCACATGGAGATGGCGGCATGCACATGGAGATGGCGGCATGCACATGGAGATGGCGGCATGCACATGGAGATGGCGGCATGCACATGGAGATGGCGGCATGCACATGGAGATGGCGGCATGCACATGGAGATGGCGGCATGCACATGGAGATGGCGGCATGCACATGGAGATGGCGGCATGCACATGGAGATGGCGGCATGCACATGGAGATGGCGGCATGCACATGGAGATGGCGGCATGCACATGGAGATGGCGGCATGCACATGGAGATGGCGGCATGCACATGGAGATGGCGGCATGCACATGGAGATGGCGGCATGCACATGGAGATGGCAGGCATGCACATGGAGATGGCGGCATGCACATGGAGATGGCGGCATGCACATGGAGATGGCAGCATGCACATGGAGATGGCAGCATGCACATGGAGATGGCGGCATGCACATGGAGATGGCGGCATGCACATGGAGATGGCGGCATGCACATGGAGATGGCGGCATGCACATGGAGATGGCGGCATGCACATGGAGATGGCGGCATGCACATGGAGATGGCGGCATGCACATGGAGATGGCGGCATGCACATGGAGATGGCGGCATGCACATGGAGATGGCGGCATGCACATGGAGATGGCGGCATGCACATGGAGATGGCGGCATGCACATGGAGATGGCGGCATGCACATGGAGATGGCGGCATGCACATGGAGATGGCGGCATGCACATGGAGATGGCGGCATGCACATGGAGATGGCGGCATGCACATGGAGATGGCGGCATGCACATGGAGATGGCGGCATGCACATGGAGATGGCGGCATGCACATGGAGATGGCGGCATGCACATGGAGATGGCGGCATGCACATGGAGATGGCGGCATGCACATGGAGATGGCGGCATGCACATGGAGATGGCGGCATGCACATGGAGATGGCGGCATGCACATGGAGATGGCGGCATGCACATGGAGATGGCGGCATGCACATGGAGATGGCGGCATGCACATGGAGATGGCGGCATGCACATGGAGATGGCGGCATGCACATGGAGATGGCGGCATGCACATGGAGATGGCGGCATGCACATGGAGATGGCGGCATGCACATGGAGATGGCGGCATGCACATGGAGATGGCGGCATGCACATGGAGATGGCGGCATGCACATGGAGATGGCGGCATGCACATGGAGATGGCGGCATGCACATGGAGATGGCGGCATGCACATGGAGATGGCGGCATGCACATGGAGATGGCGGCATGCACATGGAGATGGCGGCATGCACATGGAGATGGCGGCATGCACATGGAGATGGCGGCATGCACATGGAGATGGCGGCATGCACATGGAGATGGCGGCATGCACATGGAGATGGCGGCATGCACATGGAGATGGCGGCATGCACATGGAGATGGCGGCATGCACATGGAGATGGCGGCATGCACATGGAGATGGCGGCATGCACATGGAGATGGCGGCATGCACATGGAGATGGCGGCATGCACATGGAGATGGCGGCATGCACATGGAGATGGCGGCATGCACATGGAGATGGCGGCATGCACATGGAGATGGCGGCATGCACATGGAGATGGCGGCATGCACATGGAGATGGCGGCATGCACATGGAGATGGCGGCATGCACATGGAGATGGCGGCATGCACATGGAGATGGCGGCATGCACATGGAGATGGCGGCATGCACATGGAGATGGCGGCCATGCACATGGAGATGGCGGCATGCACATGGAGATGGCGGCATGCACATGGAGATGGCGGCATGCACATGGAGATGGCGGCATGCACATGGAGATGGCGGCATGCACATGGAGATGGCGGCATGCACATGGAGATGGCGGCATGCACATGGAGATGGCGGCATGCACATGGAGATGGCGGCATGCACATGGAGATGGCGGCATGCACATGGAGATGGCAGCATGCACATGGAGATGGCGGCATGCACATGGAGATGGCAGCATGCACATGGAGATGGCGGCATGCACATGGAGATGGCGGCATGCACATGGAGATGGCGGCATGCACATGGAGATGGCGGCATGCACATGGAGATGGCGGCATGCACATGGAGATGGCGGCATGCACATGGAGATGGCGGCATGCACATGGAGATGGCGGCATGCACATGGAGATGGCGGCATGCACATGGAGATGGCGGCATGCACATGGAGATGGCGGCATGCACATGGAGATGGCGGCATGCACATGGAGATGGCGGCATGCACATGGAGATGGCGGCATGCACATGGAGATGGCGGCATGCACATGGAGATGGCGGCATGCACATGGAGATGGCGGCATGCACATGGAGATGGCGGCATGCACATGGAGATGGCGGCATGCACATGGAGATGGCGGCATGCACATGGAGATGGCGGCATGCACATGGAGATGGCGGCATGCACATGGAGATGGCGGCATGCACATGGAGATGGCGGCATGCACATGGAGATGGCGGCATGCACATGGAGATGGCGGCATGCACATGGAGATGGCGGCATGCACATGGAGATGGCGGCATGCACATGGAGATGGCGGCATGCACATGGAGATGGCGGCATGCACATGGAGATGGCGGCATGCACATGGAGATGGCGGCATGCACATGGAGATGGCGGCATGCACATGGAGATGGCGGCATGCACATGGAGATGGCGGCATGCACATGGAGATGGCGGCATGCACATGGAGATGGCGGCATGCACATGGAGATGGCAGCATGCACATGGAGATGGCAGCATGCACATGGAGATGGCGGCATGCACATGGAGATGGCGGCATGCACATGGAGATGGCGGCATGCACATGGAGATGGCGGCATGCACATGGAGATGGCGGCATGCACATGGAGATGGCGGCATGCACATGGAGATGGCAGCATGCACATGGAGATGGCAGCATGCACATGGAGATGGCAGCATGCACATGGAGATGGCGGCATGCACATGGAGATGGCGGCATGCACATGGAGATGGCAGCATGCACATGGAGATGGCAGCATGCACATGGAGATGGCAGCATGCACATGGAGATGGCAGCATGCACATGGAGATGGCAGCATGCACATGGAGATGGCGGCATGCACATGGAGATGGCGGCATGCACATGGAGATGGCAGCATGCACATGGAGATGGCAGCATGCACATGGAGATGGCAGCATGCACATGGAGATGGCGGCATGAACATGGAGATGGCGGCATGCACATGGAGATGGCGGCATGCACATGGAGATGGCGGCATGCACATGGAGATGGCGGCATGCACATGGAGATGGCGGCATGCACATGGAGATGGCGGCATGCACATGGAGATGGCGGCATGCACATGGAGATGGCGGCATGCACATGGAGATGGCGGCATGCACATGGAGATGGCGGCATGCACATGGAGATGGCGGCATGCACATGGAGATGGCGGCATGCACATGGAGATGGCGGCATGCACATGGAGATGGCGGCATGCACATGGAGATGGCGGCATGCACATGGAGATGGCGGCATGCACATGGAGATGGCGGCATGCACATGGAGATGGCGGCATGCACATGGAGATGGCGGCATGCACATGGAGATGGCGGCATGCACATGGAGATGGCGGCATGCACATGGAGATGGCGGCATGCACATGGAGATGGCGGCATGCACATGGAGATGGCGGCATGCACATGGAGATGGCGGCATGCACATGGAGATGGCGGCATGCACATGGAGATGGCGGCATGCACATGGAGATGGCGGCATGCACATGGAGATGGCAGCATGCACATGGAGATGGCGGCATGCACATGGAGATGGCGGCATGCACATGGAGATGGCAGGCATGCACATGGAGATGGCGCATGCACATGGAGATGGCGGCATGCACATGGAGATGGCGGCATGCACATGGAGATGGCGGCATGCACATGGAGATGGCGGCATGCACATGGAGATGGCGGCATGCACATGGAGATGGCGGCATGCACATGGAGATGGCGGCATGCACATGGAGATGGCGGCATGCACATGGAGATGGCGGCATGCACATGGAGATGGCGGCATGCACATGGAGATGGCGGCATGCACATGGAGATGGCGGCATGCACATGGAGATGGCGGCATGCACATGGAGATGGCGGCATGCACATGGAGATGGCGGCATGCACATGGAGATGGCGGCATGCACATGGAGATGGCGGCATGCACATGGAGATGGCGGCATGCACATGGAGATGGCGGCATGCACATGGAGATGGCGGCATGCACATGGAGATGGCGGCATGCACATGGAGATGGCGGCATGCACATGGAGATGGCGGCATGCACATGGAGATGGCGGCATGCACATGGAGATGGCGGCATGCACATGGAGATGGCGGCATGCACATGGAGATGGCGGCATGCACATGGAGATGGCGGCATGCACATGGAGATGGCGGCATGCACATGGAGATGGCGGCATGCACATGGAGATGGCGGCATGCACATGGAGATGGCGGCATGCACATGGAGATGGCGGCATGCACATGGAGATGGCGGCATGCACATGGAGATGGCGTGCACATGGAGATGGCGGCATGCACATGGAGATGGCGGCATGCACATGGAGATGGCAGCATGCACATGGAGATGGCAGCATGCACATGGAGATGGCAGCATGCACATGGAGATGGCAGCATGCACATGGAGATGGCAGCATGCACATGGAGATGGCGGCATGCACATGGAGATGGCGGCATGCACATGGAGATGGCGGCATGCACATGGAGATGGCGGCATGCACATGGAGATGGCGGCATGCACATGGAGATGGCGGCATGCACATGGAGATGGCGGCATGCACATGAAGATGGCGGCATGCACATGGAGATGGCGGCATGCACATGGAGATGGCGGCATGCACATGGAGATGGCGGCATGCACATGGAGATGGCGGCATGCACATGGAGATGGCGGCATGCACATGGAGATGGCGGCATGCACATGGAGATGGCGGCATGCACATGGAGATGGCGGCATGCACATGGAGATGGCGGCATGCACATGGAGATGGCGGCATGCTGACGGAAAAGAGGAGAATGGAACGAGGCTTCACACGCAAGGGCTTCACACGCAAGGGCTTCATATGCAAGGGCTTCACACGCAAGGGCTTCACATGCAAGGGCTTCACCGTGGGGGTATGGTGATGACGTTGAGGCGACCATCGTATTCCCTCACCTCCTCCCCTCCACTCACTAGGTCCTGCACTCCCCACCCCTCGACACGTACACACATCGGAAACACACGATACACAGCGCAGAGACAGAGGAAAGAAAGAAGCAGGGTTGTGTGCAAGAGTATGGCAAGGGAGAAATGGGCGATCACAGAAGCGAAGAGGAACTGCTTAAGAGTGCACAGGGAAGAGAGCGGGTGCTGAGGAGATTGTGTGTGAGATGTGTGCAGGCAGAGAGGAGACCGTGAGGTGGAGGTTGGTGCGTCCGGAGAGAATAAGGTCGTCCTGTAAGCAGGTGTGCATGTCAAGAGGAGCAGTTGTGGTACAAGTGCGTGCAGTGTGTGGCAGCGGCAGTGTGCTGGGAGACCGTGAGGTGGAGGTTGGTGTGTGCGGAGAGAACGAGGTCGTGCTGGGACTATTTTTGAGTTGACTCAAAAAGAGAAGAGACCGTGAGGTGGAGGTTAGTGCGGCCAGAGAGAATGACGTCGTGCTGGGAGCAGTTGTGCATGTCGCCACTGCGCCGCGACCCTGCCTTGGTTGCCATGAGATTCACCACCACGCCTTCACCCATCTGCATGTGCGCATGTGCAAGCACACAGACAGAGAGAGATCAATACACACACACACACACACACACACACACACACACACACACACACACACACACACACACATGAACACAATCACACATGCATATGCATGCATGATGAAGTTTCCCTCCACGCCGAACTCTCCCTCCTCCCACACACAGCGCACATGAGCGTGCGGTAGCCATGGAAACATGGAGAAGAGAAAAGACAGCAGGCAGTACAGCAGCTTACACTGACACGGAGAATCTTGCCTCTCGCATCCTCGAACGAGGCAGTCTGCAGAGGAGCAGCAACCACAAGAGGGGAGAGAGGACGAGGCAAAAAGTGCAGAGCAAACAAGCTCAAGACTTGAAATGATATGAAATTTGCTTGTTGAAGGCAGACGCGTTCACATTTAACTTCCTCCCATTCACACTGCTGCTACAACCGAAACAATACTCTTCCCATCTCCGAGTTTCCTAATTCCCCATCCCCCACCTCGCCATCTTCCCATCCTGCTACCTCCCATTCACACCTGTCCGAAGAGAGTGAGCGCGCGCGAGGCCATGGAGGGCGGGGGCGCGTCCTCCACGCCCTTGCTGCGCCACGTCAGCGCGCCCAGCGGGCCCTGGGGCGTGCGCACCAGCTCCGCCAGCAACGAGGGGATGGCTGCCGGGGGGGTAAAAGGGGGGGAAGTGAGGGGGTGAGGGTGAGGGTGGGTATGGATATGGGGAGATGATGGGAGCGCGCCTAGCGGCCCCTGGGGCGTGCGCACCAGCTCCGCCAGCAGCAAGGGGATAGCTGCCGCGAGTGGGAGGGGAGGTGAGGGTTGAAAGATGAGGGATGAGGGTTGAGGGATGCGGGGTGGGGAATGAGGGAAATGGGCTGGGAGCTGAAAATACTCCCACGACCAACGGAAGAACCGACTACTCACATTTGGTGCCGCCGGTCCCGCTGCGACTCGCCTCACTACCACTGTCCGCGCAGCACCAGCAGCACCCGTGCGTCGCGCTACAGCTACAGTTACTGCTGCTGTTGCTGCCGCTATTACCGCTATTACTGCTAATACCGAGGCTGTCTCGTTCCCCTCCCTCCCCTGTCACCCTCATCATCTCTCCCACCGTCGCTCGTACCGCCAGTAACCGCTGCTCGAGCTGCGCTGCCGTTCCGTCTGTCGTCTCTCCTGTTACTGCGCCGCGATCAGCTGGGGATGGTTCCTGCGGACGATGCAATAGCGAGTACGCAGTGTATGTCGCGAAACAGACGAGCGCGATTCGCTCCAGCGTTCGGCTGGCCATGGAGGGAGGATGAGGAGTGAGTGGCGAGGAAAGGTGCAGAGTGGTGGACGCGGAGGATGCGGCGGGTGCGCGCGGGTTCCGGCGAGAATGGGCAGAGTTGGAGGACATGGGCTGGTTGTGAAAGGCTATAATCGCCGCAAGAAGCTTCAGTGTTGTGAATCCGATTCCTGGTAGTACGAGTGCTTTTGCGACGCGCGTGATAAGTTGGAATGGGGTGGGGACATATGCATACTCCATCGGAATGAGCGAAGAATTCCAAACGATACACCGACGAAAACGGTTCGCCTAGCCAAGTGTTACATGAATACAGCACTTCAGAAAAAATCCGGAACTTGGTGTTCCTTCTACCAGATAGTACTTCCAATTTAGCATGAGTACAAAGCATCCATAATCTCCTTCCCCAAATCCTGCCTCCCATCAATATACATCCATCCATGCCCGTCCATCAATATCGCTGGCATCCCTGCTTTGCTCATCTTCTATGCGAACTCACTCTCTCCCTCCCACCTTCCTTCTCTCATTCTCAAATCTACAGCCCCAGGGCAGCACTGAGAGCACTGTGGACATCCACGCTAATCTGCGCCTCTGCCTTCTCCAAATCAGAGCTCGCACTGGCCACCTTGGCGTGTGCCGCAGCCAGGCCCTTCTTCACCTCCTCGCCGTCGATCTGGTCCAGCGGCACCGCATCAACGGCTGCCACGTCGAGCACGCTGTTGGGGTGCACGAACGCGAATCCGCTGCTCACAAAGAGCTTTGTCTCGGTTGTTCCTTCGATGACTGTCAGCAGGCCTGGCTTGAGCTCCGCAATGGACGCCACGTGGCCTGGAAGGACGCCCATCTGGCCTGACGTGGCAGGGATGATCACGCTGTCCACCTGGCGTGGAACGGGGTGAGGGGAAGGGTGAGCGGGAGGGGTCAGGGGGGAAGGGAAGGGGGAAAAAGGGGACGGAAAAGGACGAAGTAGGAAGGGAAAGAGGAGGGGGCAAGGGAAAGAGTGGAGGCGGAAGGGAAAAGGGGAACGGGGAGGGAAAAGGGGGAAGGGGGAAGGGCAGGGAGGAAGGCGGAAGGGCAAGGAGGAAGGGGAAAGGGCAGGGAGGAAGGGGGGAGGCCAAAGATGAAGGGGGAAGGGCAAGGAGGAAGGGGGAAGGGCAAGGAGTAAGGGGGAAGGGAAATGAAGCGAAAGGTAGAAAGGATCAGGCCGAAGGAGAACGGGTGCGTGAGTAGGAGGGGAAGGAGGAAGGAAACACGAGGTTTGCGCAAGGCGAAGCTTACAGACCTGTGCGAACACGCTGACACGTAACCTACACGTAAACGTGGCCTGACGTAGCATGCGTCGGCCTTTGTGATCTCGATCTCCCAGTCAGATGCCACACAAAGAACTACTTCTATAAGCTCTTTAACGTGGGTCTACTACCCACCCGTGGAAGTGACAGATCGCCATTAATGGGAACCCGTAGCTCCCGAAAATAACTCATGCGGCAGCTTATGCGGCCTCCAGCCTGTAGCTCTCGATTCAAAATCGGGTCCAGACACCCCAGACGTCGTTGGTTGGATATATCGCCACTGCGATTGCGTTTCAAAACCGAGCGTGAATCACCTGGTGTAACCCTAAAAACGGGTTACGCTACAGTTCGTCAGCGTAGCCTAGGTTTGTCACTTCCGATCGGCCGAGGGGAAGCCGGCTCGAAGCTCGAAGCAGCGCACTCACTGCTCGGAACTGACCTCTTTCGCGCTGAACGGCACAGCGTGAGGTAGCGAGAGGTTAAGCGTAAGCTTTTCCGGGATCGCGGCTGCCACGGCGGGGCGCTCCTTGAGGTAAGTCAGCGGCGTGGACGGCACGTCCAGCTGCGGCGCCACGCGCTTGTAAGCCTCCGCTAGGCCCGCCGACTCGGCGGGCGCAGCGGCGGATCCGTGGATCCGCGCGACGCCGGCGGCTGCGCGCGCGGCGGGGAGGAGAACGCGCTTGGCGGAACGGAACATGGTGAGCAGGGCGGAAGGACGAAAGTTTGTGGAGGGGATGAAAATCAACGGTGGAAATGAACGGTGCGCGCCGTGAAATCTACGGAACGCCCTGGCCTGGGAACGACAGGAGGAGGCGAGATCGTGGTGGGAGTGCGAAGCGGCGAGCGGAAGAGGCGGTGGTGGAAGGTGCAAGTATGGCAGAAGGCCCAGAAGCGGAAGCGAGCGGTGCAGCAGCTGAGGCTGATTTGTGGTGGGAGCGGGATGGTGGCTGCAGGGGTTGGCGGAGCAGTGGCGGAAGCAGATGCGGACTCGGTAGTGCTAGCGGAAGCGGGAGTGAAAAAAGTGGTGGCGGAAGAGGGGTCGGAGGGGAGCGGGGAGGTGTGGGCACGGGGCGGAGTCACAGGAAACCCGTGCGGAAGCGTTTGGTGTTACCGTGCATAAATTGTATTAACATAGAAAATGTTCAATGGTTATATCGAGTCTAGTCATCATCCAGATTACATGGAAAATTTGCATCAATAATGTGCATCATGTCAAGAAATTGTCTAACTGAGAACTAATTCAACCTAGAGTTAACGTTAGCCACACTCATGACAGGCCATACCTTCACACAGGTAAGCTCAGTCAGCTCGACAAAAAAGAACTGGCAAGCCGCAGGAAGCACTAGCAGGTTCCGAGGAGGCGGGCAGGAGGATTGAGAGGAGGAAGAAGTTGGGGAGAAGCAAGGGTGGTGATAAGAAAGGGAGGATGGGGCCCAGGAATTTGGAACAGCAGACAGGTACAGCAGATGTCTCTGTTGGAGGTCACAAGGAGTTAAGTAAAACACAAAGGGAATCAATTAAGTAGAGGAAACAATCCCAACCCAACTACCGTACCGTACAATCGAGAACTGTGGGAACTACGGACCCAGGAATCCACGCAGGCCCAGACACTGCCGGACCGGAAGTTTGCAACCGTGAATAGGAGGATGAGGTGGGTGGTGAGGTGGAGGGGTGGTAAGGTGGCGAGCGGGTGCTGCAATGCAGCTTCTTTTGCTGATGCCTGACATGACGTCACACAATAGCAAGAGAATGCACAGGCCATGGGTAAAGGATGGGACTAAGGGGGGGAGGTTCAAGGCAGAGAGAGAGGTACGGTAGGAAAGGGATGTGAGCGGTAAGACCCCGGGGTTCCAGCGTCAGATGCAGACGAATCGACACATGCCGGCCGGTCCAGTCACAGATGCCCATCCATTCCCAGTCGCCGATCCATCCCTCCATCCATCCATCCACAGTGCAGTGCAAGTCCAGTCGTCGTAGCCATGGATCTAGCAGCAGCGAGCCGTGGAGGCCCAGGGGCAGGCCAAGCAGTGCAACGAAAGAGCACATAACTCAAGCAGTGCATGCAATGCACGCACGCACGCACCCCATGCAGAGCGTCAAGTAACCCCTACCCTCCTCCACCGTTGGCAGCACTGTTACGGCACGAGTGCAGACACATCGGAGGAGTTATGCCTCGACAGCCCACTGCCCTTGCCGCCCCCATGCCCTGACCGCCTCCTCTCCCCGTCCCCATCCCCATCCCGCTCCCTCCCACCCCTCTCACGGTGCCTCTCCCTCTCCTTGTGCCTGCCGCCCCCCCTCTCCCCGTCCCTCTCCCGCTCCCACTCACTCTCCCGCTCCGACTCCTCCCCACCGCCTCCCCTGCTCCGCGCGTCTCTTCTCCCTGAACCTGCGCCGCCCTCTCCCTCCCTCGCCTGCGGCACCAGCAGCGACAGGTCTTGGGACTTCTGCCTATGACCCCGCAGGGCTGAACTGCCCCCAGCCTCTGACCCACGCCGGCTGCTGCTGCTCACACCACTGCCGCCACCACCACCGCCGCCGCCGCTCTCCCTCCTCCCGTCCTTCTCCCGCAACCAGTCCTTGTCACGATCGCGCTCCCTGTACCGATCCCGGTCCCGGTCCCTGTTCCTCTCCCTGCTTCTGTCGCTCCGATCGTCATCATCCCATCCACCGCCCCCGCCCCTCTCCCTCCCCCCTCCACCAAACCCTCCAAACTCCCCGCCGCCGTCCTCCCCTCTCCTCCCGCCTCGCTCCCTCCGGCCGTCCCTCTCGCCCCGCTCGTGCCCGCCGCCCTCTCCCCGCTTCACCTCTTCTGCTTCAAGCCACGAGGCACTCACCGACTTGTTCCTGGATAGAGCACTGTCATCCCCTGCACCGCCGTCCTCCCCATCCCGCCCGCCGCGCTTGGGGGAGCGCAGCGGAACACCAGCACCACCCCCCTGCCTTGGAGACTTGGGAATACCCCCCCTGCCACTGGCTGTGTGCCCGTACCCCGATGCCCTATCCCTGTCCCTGTCTCTGTCCCGGTCTCGACTGTAGGATCCGGTTCTGGAACTTCTGCTGTCTGTTCGTTGGTAGTCCCCGTCTCCCCCTCTCTCCCTCTCCCTCTCCTTCTCCTTGCCATGTGTGCCGTTCACCCCTTCTGCCACCGCATCCCCTGTCTTGCCCTCCTCCCCACCTGCCCCTTCCGCATCCCCTCCTCCTTCCCCTGCCTCCCCCTCCTCCGCCACACCATTCGCTGTCACTTTCCCCCCACCACCCTCCTCATCCCCTCCCTCCTTCCCCCCTCCTCCCCCCTCTCCCTTCGCCTCGTCCCCTCCACCCTTCTTCTCCTTTCCCGATCCCGGCGATTCCCCCGGGTTCTTCACACTAGTCCACCCCCCTCCTTCCGCATCCGACTCTTCCAACACCTGCAACGACCGTCCCGAGACTGCGCCGCCGCTTCGTTCCCGGCCAGACCCACCCGAGCCTGACGGGCTCTCCATCTGCCTCCTGCTGCTGCTGCTGCCAGTTCCCCGGAGGCGAGACCCCGTGGGGGGGCGTGAGGGGGACGACACAGAGTCTTCATCTGACCGCCAGGAGGGAGACATACGGCGCACTAGATCCCGGTTCGATGCCCTCCTGCCGCCGCTGCTGCTGCCTCTCCCTCCCACCGCCTCCTCCTTGTCATCCTTGCCCTTCACACTCGGCGATCTCTTCCCCTCCTCCCTCTCCTTCTCCTCCAAGTCGATCGACGATTTTCGTCCATGCCTGCCCTCCCCATCCTTACCGGACCTCCCCTTCCCGTCCGGGGATCTGGATCGGTCCAAGCCTCGTCGAGCGGCCCCGCCGGACCTGCCGCCGTCCGAGCCTCGTCCTTCTGCCGACTGTTGGCCTAGCAACAGCTGGGACTGATTGCTAGCGGATCTTTCCATCTTACGTCCACTGCTCCTCCCCCCACCTCCTCCCGACTTCCCAATCCCGCCCGCAAGGCTGTCCGTATCCCTCCCGCCCCTGCCCTTCCGCCCACCCCCATCACCATCATCCCCCCCTACATTCAACATCTTAGAAATATCCGCGGATTTGTGCCTGATAATCCCCCCTCCGCCACTGCTCTTCTTGCTCTTGCTGCTACTGTCCGCCTTGTCTCTCCGCAAAGACCCTGGCGTCGTTGGCACCTTGTCCTTCCCCCGCTCCTTCTCATCCTTCCCCCGATCCCTCAACTCCCTCTCCCGGTCCCTAGGCCTGTCTCCATCTCTCCGGTCCCGCTCCTTCTCATCAGAATCATACCCTCCCCTTTCCCGCTCCCAATCCGCATCCCTATCGCGATACCTTGGTCTGTCGCGGTCCCTGTCCCAATCCCTGTCTCCCCGATCCCTATCCCGATACCTCTCCCTGTCCCTATCCCACTCCCGATCCCGCTCCCTATACCTGTCCCTGTCCCTGGGATCCCAGTCACGATCCCTGTCCCTCCGATCCCAATCCCTGTCCCGGTCCCTGTCCCAGTCTCGATCCCTGTACCTGTCCCTATCCCTGTCCCTATACCTGTCTCGGTCTCTATACCTGTCCCTATCACGACCATACTCCCTGTCACTGTCACTGTCCTTGTCCTTATCACTCTCATACTCGTCTTTATACCCATACCTGCCGTCTCTATCCCGGTACCGGTCCCGATCCCGGTCTCTATACCCATCCCTGTCCCTATCCCAATCCCTCTCCCTCTCCCTATACCTCTCTCGGTCCCTCTCCCTACTACCCCGCTCCCTCGATCCGTCCAAATCTTTCCCCTTCAATCCATCCACGCCCTTATCCAAATCCTCGTCCCTGTCCCTATCCCGCCTGTACCTGTCTCTATCCCTGTCCCTATCCCCGTCCCTGTCCCAGCTCCTGTCTCGGTCCCAATCCCGGTCCCCCCTACCCCTATCCCTATCCCTATCCCTGTCCCACTCCCTCCCCCTGTCCCTATACCTATACCTATCCCTCTCCCTGCTCCTATCCCAGTCCCTGTCCTTGTCTCGATCCCTATCCCTATCCCTGTACCGGTCTCGGTCCCTCCCCCTGCCACTCTGCGACGAAGCATCGTCCTTGCCCGTCTCCTCCTCTAGAGCACCCAGCATGCTTGCCGCATCAGACCGATACCGCGACAGCCTATCAGCGTTACTGCTCCTACTAGACGTGCTCGAATCCCTGGGAAACCGGCTCGAGGCACCCCCATCCTCGCCTCCTCCCCTCCCTCTGTCCCTCCCGCCCTTCTCATCCCCGTCGTCTCCCCGCCTGCTGCTCCGAGAAGCAGACGAGGAGGGCCGTGCGCCCGTACGGTCCTTCTCCCACGCCTTAACCTCCTCCATCTTCGCTAGAAGCTTCGCCAGCCGCTCCTTGTCCTCCTTCCCGCCTCCTCCGTCCTTCTCCTTGCCCCTCAGGGCGTCCTTCGCCGCTGCAAACATCTCCTTCACGCTATCATCCTGCTTCTTCCCTCCCTTTCCCCCGTCCCGGTCCCGGTCCCTATGCCGCTTCCGCTCCTCCTCATCATCCCCAGCATCCGTCCCGCGGGACCCAGTTCTCCTGTGCCTCCCCCCGCCCCTCTCCCCTCCGCCTCCCCCTCCGTCTTGCAGATCCGCCAGAGCAGCCAACAGAGCGCCGGTATCAGCAGTTTTAGTGCGGCTCATGTTAGAACTGCTTCGCCTCGCCCTGTCGCTGCTTCCCCCGCCGCCTTTAGCAGCCAACGCCCCTGCTAAAGCCCTCTCTACGTCTCTCGCGCTCCGCCTGGACGACGCAGCAGACGCGGATTCCGGTCTCCTGCTGCTGCTGCTGCTGCTACTGCCGCCAGCCGCCCCCCCCTCCCCCCCCGCGCCCTCCTTCGCCTTCAGCTTAGCCTGCAGCTTCAGCAGCGCGGCTAACTCCTCCTTCCGCTCCTCCCCCGCGCCACTCGCGCGGATCGCCGCCACAGCGTCCGCCACCGCCGCCAGGTCCGCGCTAGCTAGCACCGTCGCCAAATCCCCGTCTTTCCCGTACCTGTACCCGCCCGCGCCCCCGCTGCGGCTGGCGCTGCTGCTGGCGATGTTGCGGCTGCTGCTGCTGCTGCTGCTGCCCCGGCGGTCGCCGTCTGGCAGCGGGATGCGCGGAGAGTCCCCCGCCTTGCGGTGCGCGCGCGAGTCCGCCGTCACTGGCTTCGCGGGCAGCCCGGGGACATGGTCCGCCGCGTTGCTGCAGTGCTGCTTTATCCACCGGTGCGCTGGCGGGCGGATGGGGGGACGGGGAGAGTGGGACAGGGGAGGGCGGCCGGGGAGGAGGAGAGAAGGAGAGAGTGAACAGCGGTTAGGATGCGGTGGGGGGAGGGGGGGAAGCGGAAGACAACACTTCACAAGGAGGAACGTGGGGGAGCGGACAGGTGGGGAAGGTGAGTGGTGATGAGTTAGGATTGGAGGGAACGAGGGGGAAAAGACTAGAAGGGAACAAGGGGGGTGGGAAAGGGTAGGGAGGTTGGGAGGGAGAAGAGAGAACAGACACAGGCAACAGCAGCAGCAGCAGCAGCAGCAGTAGCGAAACATGCCAACTCCCCCACCTTCTCCCTTTCCTTTCTCCTCCCCGTCCCCACCACGAACCCTCTGCCAGAGCTCCACTCACCGAGCGCCTTTTCTGGCCTTCACAAACTCTCGTTGATTAGCTAGTGTTTAGTCTTTACACACTGTCTTTTCCTACTTGCTTAAACCTACTCCTACGCAAGTGCTGCTCACTGGAAAATGTCCCAAGCTCTGGCAGAGCTCCACTCACCGAGCGCCTTTTCTGGCGTGATGCGCTTCTGGGGGTCCCTGGTGAGCATCCTGAGCACGAGGTTCTTGGCGTCCATGGACACGCTCTCCCACCCGCCGCTGAACACGTCCACTTTGCCCGTCTTGATCGCCTCGAAGATGCCCTCCTCCTTCTCCTTCTCCCCCCAACAAACCTCTCGCACCAGAAGCCGAGAAACGCACAGCCATCCCCCGGCCCCACCTCCCTCCCCCCACCTCCCTCCCCCCCGCACCCCTACCTGCAAAACCTCCGCCAGCCATCCACTCACCGAGCGCCTTCTCCGGCGTGATGCGCTTCTGCGGATCCCTGGTAAGCATCCTGAGCACGAGGTCTTTAGCGTCCATGGACACGCTCTCCCACCCGCCCGAGAACACGTCCACCTTGCCCGTCTTGATGGCCTCGAAGATGCCCTCCTCCTTCTCCGCCCAGAAGGGCGGCAGGCCGCAGAGCAGGATGTAGAGGATGACGCCCACGCTCCACATGTCCGCCTCCATGCCGTAGTTGTTGTTCAGCACCTCGGGGGCTATGTAGTAGGCGCTGCCCGCCATTGTTGTCAGCTTGCCGCCTGGGGGAAGCAGGGGGGAGGGGGGAGGGGGAAAGGTGGGAGGAAGGAGGGGGGAAGGTGGGGCCAAGGTGGGAGGAAGGTGGGGGCAAGGTGGGGGAAAGGTGGGGGGAGGATAGGAACGGGGGAGAGAGGAGCGGGGAGAGGGGAAGCGGAGGGGAGAGAGAGAGAAGAGGGGGAAGTGAAAGGGGGGTAGGGGAGAGGAGGGGAAAAGGGGGAGAGGAAGGGGGTGAGAGGAGTGGGTGGAGGGGGGAGAGGAGGGGAGAGAGGGAAGGAGGGAGGATACAAGGGCATGTGGAGCGGAGGGAGCCCACAAAAAGAGAACCCACAGAAAGGCAGGTCAAGTTTTGAGGCGCCTCAAAACTAGGCCATGTGGAGCGGAGGGAACCCACAAAACGAGAACCCACAGAAAGGCAGGTCAATAGGGAAGTGCAACTCAAGCACTAGCCGGGGCGACAAGAAGCAAAGCGGACCTAATTGGACGCCCAGACATGAGTCAGCTTGTCAGCGCTGGAGCGAAGCAAGAGTGAGACGAAGGGCTAAGGCTCATTGCGCAGAGCGTGAGGAAGGGAAAATCACCATACGACTCATTATTCGTATGTTCTTGTTATTATTTTTGTTCTTGGGAAGTCCATACATCAGGAAGAGAGAGACCATTGCCAGACAAGAAGAGCGGGTGGGGAAGGGGGGGGGGTGGGGGGGGTGTGATGAAGTGGAAACAGGGACTAGGATTGGCAGGGAAGCGGTTGAAGGGAGAGGAGGAGAGGGGAGGGAGGGGAGGAACATGGGCACTGCTGAGGAGGCAGCACGAGGGCGAGCGCAGGAAGCACAGACACACGAAACACTCACGGCAACAGCATCAGCAACAGCACGAGCCCAAGCATTCTTCCCACACATTCTCACTCACCAGGCTTCACAAACGCGGCGAGTCCGTAGTCCACGACCTTGACCTGCGTGTGCGACTTGCGGTTGACGAGAAGAATATTCTCGGGTTTGAGGTCGCGGTGCATGAGGCCGTGCGCCTGGCAGTGGTGCACCACGGAGATGAGCGTGCGTGTGAGCAGCGCCGCCTCGTCCTCGGGGTAGTGGTGCCGCTGGCTGATGCGCTCAAACAGCTCCCCGCCCTCGCACAGCTCCATTATCAGGTGCACGCGCTGGGGGGGGGGGGGGGAGAGGGGGAACGGGGAGAAGGGGTTGTGTGGAAAGGGGGAAAAAGTGGGGGGTGAAGATGGGGTTGAACTCTGATGCGCTCGAACAGCTCCCCGCCCTAGCACAGCTCCACCATCAGGTGCACGCGCTTGGGGGGAGGGGGGGGGGGGGGGGGGGGGGGGAGGGTGGGGAGGTAGAGCGGGGAGGGGGAGGGGGTGGAAAGGCGGAGAGAGGGGGAGAAAGATGGGTTTGAGCTCTGATGCACTCGAACAGCTCCCCGCCCTCGCATAGCTCCATTATCAGGTGCACGCGCTTGGAAGGTGGGGGAGGGGGGAGGGGAGGGGGAGGGGGGGTTGGGGGAAGAACAAGGTGGGGGGAAGAAGGGAAAAGGGGGGAAGGGGAAGTGGGGGAAGAAGGGGAAGGGGGTAAGGGGGGAAGGGGAAGTGGGGAGGAGATGGGATTAAGTTCCGAGGCGTCTCAAACAGCTCGGCGCCCTCGCGCAGCTCAGCGCGCGCGGGGGGGGGATGGAGAGGAAGGGAGACGGACGTGGGGGGGATGGAGAGGAAGGGAGACGGACGTGGGGGGGTGGAGAGGAGGGAGACGGACGTGGGGGGGTGGAGAGGAAGGGAGACGGACGTGGGGGGGTGGAGAGGAAGGGAGACGGACGTGGGGGGGTGGAGAGGAGGGAGACGGGGGTGGGGGGCGGGGGGGGTAGGGCAGGGCCCGAGGGCCCGTGAGTTTGACGAGTCTCATGATCACCGCCCTCCGAGGGTAGGGCGAGGGGCCGTGAGGGTAAGTCTAAAAACGCACCGCCTCTCGCATAGCTCCACGATCATGCGCACAGCGAAGGGGAGGAGGGGAGGAGAAAGAGGGAAACGGAGTGGGAGGGGTTATGAGGAGAAAATGCGTGTCACCGATTTAGGATGGGAGAGAGAGCTGCTGCCACCTGATCCGCTCACACAGCTCTTGATTGAACAGGGGCACAGTTGAAAGAAAGAAAGAAAAGAAAAGAAAAGAAAAGAAAAAAAAAGCCATCCCCCTCAATGTAGTGATTTTCACGAAACGTCTACATGCGCACGCGTTAGAGGGACTTTTGGAACGTTCTCACAAACTCATCAGGCAATTGCCTTGAAACTTATTACAGACATTTACGGGTGCACGCGGTGAAAGACAAAGGGAGACGGGTGGGGGAAGGGGGGGGAGGGAACGGGACGGGGAGGAGAATGGGGGAACGGGCGGAGAACAGGGGCGGAGAGATGGTAGGTGCTGGGTTCTGCAGGCTCGCGAATTGCGCGGAGGGCGAAGAGCACAACCAAGCGCCACTCTTAGCCTTACGTCGGACATTACCTCATTTTCTACGCGTCTAGCCTTCAATACTCGAGTAGACTCAAGAGTCGCGCCGCGTGCTACTATATTTTGTACGCGCCCAGCGTTTAAGGCTCTAAAAGCCTGCACGCGAAAGGCATCGCTCTCTGGCAGCCCTAAAGCCGATTCCTTTTCCCCCCCACGGTGGACCAACCACCTACCCAGTTACTCGCAACAGTACGCCTCTCTGACTGTAAGGTGAATCGTAACCTCCGACTTTCCACGTTCCATTCACCGTATACCTTCCGCGCCCCTTCTCCCCGTCTGCACCGCCGTACCTTCTGGTCTTCGTACGTCGCGTGCAGCTCGATCACGGCGGAGTGCCCGCGCAGCACCTCCATCACCTTAATCTCCCGCTGCACGTCCTCCACCTCGCGCGTGCCGCTCAGCTTCGTCTTGCTAATCGACTTGCACGCGAACGGGACGCCCGTCATCTTGTCCTTGCACTCGCGGATCACGCCGTACTGCCCGCGCCCCAGCTCCTTGCCCATGCTATACTGGTCCTGCACGTTCTCGTACGGCCGCTTCAGGATCATCACCGTGTGTGGTGCTTCCTTCACGTCGTCCGCCGCTGTGATTGGCTTGGGTAAGGAGTCCTTCGTCGCCATCTCCCGCGGGAGCTCTTTCGCCGTCGAACCCATGGCTCCTGCTGCTCCTGCTCCCGCTCCTGCTCCTCCTGCTGCTGCTGCCGCTACGATTTTTCCCGCTGCGTTTCTTCCCGCAGCCGCTGCGCTGCTCGTGCTGGTGCTGGTGCTTGTGCCGGTGCTGCTGCGGCTATCGCTCTCTCTAGGAACCACACCCGGAACGTCTACCGACGGCGGCGTGGGAGGGCCACTTAAGCTGTCGTCAGCAGCTTCGTCTTCTGACGTCAGGCTATCTTGATCGCCGAGGAAGTTACCAGAAGGGTGCGTGGCAGTGGGAGAAGGCAACCCCATGGAACGATACCCATTCGCGACTGAACTTGCCTCCTCCCGCCGATTAACGACCTACTGTTGAGAACGCGATTCACGAGCCCCAGTCAACCCTCCTTGTGAGTCCACCATCCTCCACTCGCTCCGGCATATCCACTCACCCCTGCTCCCTTCCCCCCTCTCTCCCTCACTCCCTCCTCCCTCCCTCTCTGCCTCTCTCCCTCCGTGTCCACCGCCGCCAAATGCGAGAGTCGCTCCGGCCGCCTCCGGAAAGCGAGACGATGTGAAAGCGAGCGCGTAGATGCAAGGCAACAGTAGCGGGGATAAGAACTGCGTTAGGTTATTAATGCAAAGGTTGTCAGGGAGTCAGCGAAGTCGCGGCAATGTCACTGGACGTGACGGGGGAGCTCCGCGCCGGGCCTTCCCCGATTAAACAACGCCGGCGAACTATCAAGATCAGTGAAGCGGCAGGAAAAATACACTAAATGATAAATTATCTTACGCCAGTTTCAGATGCAGGAAAGCTCCTGCGAACTTTGAGCGCATAATACATGCGCTGATAAATAAAGCGAGACAGCGTTGCAATAAACGTTCTCTGCAAGGCAAAATACGTAGCGTCAGGTAGCAGTGAGCGACATGCTGCCGACCTTTGAAGCATGGAAACCCTAAGTGGGGAACATGCAGGGATGCTCTAAGACGACAAAGCTGAAGCTGGGTAATACCAGCAATCCAGATAAGCAGCACGCAATGCGACGTCGCGAGGCTTTGAAACACGAAACGGCAGTGCACATCCCTAAACGCGAACGCGACTGAGTTAGCGGTTACCCATAATAGCTGAGGAACGACAGGTTAGGTACAGGAGTTTCAAGAGACTAACGGGAGTGGGGGAGATGGAAGAGAGTGAGATGTGGAAATTGAGGCGGAAGCAGGGCGGAACCTGAAAGGGGAAAGGGGGAGAATTGTTGGAAGGTCGGGGGGAGAGGGGGAGAGGGGGAGAGGGGGAGAGGGGGAAGCGAAGGGGAAAGACAGGGCGGGTAGGGGAAAAAGGGGAGAGAGTGGTTGGGCTGGGCGGGGGTTCCTGGGGGGGGCCGTATGCGCGACTGTACGGCGGCTGGTTGAATTGAAACTTGAACTGCCAAAAGCCAGACCCGGAGCGGCAGGTTATTCCAGCGAGTGAGCCGACGCTCACGGCGCCCACACAGTGGCCCCTGCCCCCTCACTGGGTGGTGTGGTGTTGTTTCCCGAACAGGGGGAGAATGAACGGGGAAGACATCCGTGCTTTCGGAACAGGGACGTGCCCCACCCAACCGCCCGCCCTACCCATCTACCACCAACCTGCGCTGGGATGGTTTGTGCTTGTAATGGGCCAAGTACGCGCCAATAAGGTATACACCCTGGTAAAACTCTTTCTAGCATCTGCATCATACATAGTTGTCTAAACTTCCTAAAAGAACTTCAATTTGGTGTCAGACTATGATTGTTGATCTTTGTGTTACAGTATTTATCAGTGTGCATTTGTTTCCTTCTGTGTATACCGTATTGTATGAGATGATACCAGTTTCTTCACAATAAATACTCGTGGAACTACTAAAAACAGAAAACCGCAATTACCGTTCCCAACATAACCTAGTATTTGTGCTTAATTATTTACCATAACGATGATGTTTTGAATCACGCTGTAAGCCAAAGTGGTGTAATTCCCTAGTCTTGTCTTACTGTTCTTGCACTAACATGCAGGGCTGAATTCCACCACGCATCAAATGCATGTCACATCGCGCACTGCAAAATGCAAACGGTGTCGCACATTTGATTTCTTGCTCTACACACCTGCATGCATACAACACACATCCCTGCAAAGATCAGTGCCCCTGCTCATCCCACTTGCTGCTCATTCCTTCGCACCGAGCCATTCGCCCCAAAGAACCATGCTTTCGCCGTTATCACGTGACGCTCTCTCCCCTGCCTTCTAAAGAGCGATCAATCATCCATGTCGACCTCTTGCGCCTTGAGAAACGCATGCACAGCATTTCTACACCGGCGTCCCTGAACTATGCCCCGAGCCGCGTGAGAGCTTGTTTATGTCCCAGAACGGCCAAAGTCTCGCAACGGACTGGAGAGCCTTTGCATATTTGAGCTGCTCGGAGCTGCTCCAGTTGTATTCGGCGTGACCTGCAGTGACCCGTGTATATATCATCGTCAGAGTCGCAATGTAATCCGACAGGTTCTCTCCTCTTCGTTTTTTTGTGACGTTCTTACAAAACGGTTTTCGTTCCTCTCCTTGCCTGAGCTGAGTTTCTCGCCTAATATCCACGCTTTCTACCTTACCCTACTCCTTATGCACTGCTCCTAGCAATGGCTCCGACGAATTCCATGGCGCATACAAGCAGCCTCACGACTAACACCACCTCTTTATCCCCTTTCTCCTCCCTCCTACAACTACCCTTGTTCAGTCTCTTCCCAGCATCGCTCTTGTTCCAGAAACATCAGCAGCACCTGACTGCCTCACCCCTTTCTGACCAGCCGTCCCCCTCTCCTCTCCTTCCCAACCTCCCTTCCCTCGTCACCACCATAGCCTGCATCTCCATCTCTCTTATGCTCCTCCTCTTCCACCGCCGCAGCCGCCGCACCCGCTCCTCCTACCCACCCGGCCCCGCGGCCTGGCCAATCCTCGGCAACATCCCCTCCCTCGGAACCCTCCCGCACCGCTCCCTCGCAAAGCTAGCCGACAGGTTCGGCCCGATCTTCACCATCTGGTTCGGCCCAACCCCGTGCGTGGTCATTTCCTCCCCGGACCTCGCGCGTGCGGCATTGAAAGAACAAGACAGGCTGTTCAGCGGCCGCCCGCTGGTCACGTCCACGCGCGTGCTCACTCTGGGCGGCAAGGACGTGGCGTTCGCGCCGCCTGACCAGGCGTGGAAGAAGCGGCGACGTCTGGCGTTCCTACACCTGCTGTCCGCGCGCCAGCTGGCGGCGAGCGCGGCGCTGCGCGAGGAGGAGGTTCAGGCGATGGTGGAGTCCATGGCGTTGGAGGTGCAGCGCTGCCAGGAGCCTGCTTCTAGGGCCGGAGGGGCCGGAGGGGCCGGAGGGGCAGGAGGGGCAGGAGGGGCGGAGCCAGGCGGAGTGGGTGGAGGGGGAGGGGGAGGTGGAGGGGGGTGTGTGGTGAACATGAGGAACTATTTGGGTCGAGCCACGCTCAACAACATTCTGCACCTCACTGTCGGTAAGCGGTACCCCTACAGCTTCAGCAGCAGCAGTAGCAGCAGCACCCGCGAGCATGGCACGGACCACACTGGTGGTGCTTCTGCCATTCCCTATGCTGCCAGCGCTTCCAGTGTTACCAAGTCAACCGGGACTACTAGTGCCGGTGCGGCTAGTGCTGGTACTTCTGCTAGTAGCAGCATTTCACCTTTGGAGCAGGAGGGAGAGAGGGTGGCAGCGATGGTGGATGAGGTGTTTCTGGTGGTCGGGGCGTTTAACCTCAGCGACCACTTGCCATGGCTGCGGTGGTTGGACCCTCAGGGCATTAACGCACGGGTCAGGAGAGTGCAGCCGGCCATACATGGGTTTGGGCGGGCATGCATCAGGGAGAGGGCGGGAGGGGGAGGAGGAGGAGGAGGCATCAGCGCATGCAACAGCAGCCCCTGTTGCAGCCTCCGCGACCACCCTCACGCCAGCCTCGTGGGATCCCTCCAGCACTTTCCTCATGCTGCCCTTCGGCGGTGGGCGGCGGGGCTGTGCGGGCATGGCTCTGGGCGTGGACATGGCTGCTCGCATGCTCGCTGCTCTCCTGCTCCGCTTCCACATGGCCGTTCCGCCCGACAGTGCCACTACGGATGGTACTGGCTCGCTGCTCTCCTGCTCCGCTTCCACATGGCCGTTCTGCCCGACAGTGCCACTACGGATGGTACTGGAGGGATGGAGGGACGAGGAGGAAGAGGGTGTGTGGAGTTGGGGGAGGTGCTTGGACTCACTATGGCTATGAAAAAGCCGCTCAGGCTGCTGCTGTGGGAAAGAGAGGGTGTGTCAGCAGGTGTGAAGATCAATGCTAGGATTGTGCATGAGAGGTGATTAGATTGGTGCAAGGTAGGTTTGTAGACGGGAAGAGGGCTCAGGTTTGTAGACGGGAAGAGGGCTCTGCCATTGTGGAAGGGAGCTACTTGGGAGTACACCCAACCGGTGCGGAGCACACCCAATTGCTGTGGAAGTCGGCAGAGTGTAAATTGTATTTCTCCTGTGCAAAGTCCACATGCATTGTTGCACTTGATGGTCCTGCTTTTTTTAAACCAAACCAATGCCAAGGTGCAAGGTACAGGAAACACAGCATACGCAACCCTATTCCCCCCATCTTCTACCTACCTACTCTCACCGCTACACTCAAGGCCTTGCTTCAAACCTAGAGCTGAGGCAGCTCAGAGGTGCAACTGTAGTCTACTGTCAGCCATACTCTACCTGCAACTGTCTCACGCACGTACGCCTCTTGTAAGAATAACTCGGCGGACGTCCCAGCATGCCTTCCTGCCTTCCACACTTCCCCTCTCCCCTCTCCCCTCTCCCTCCCAGCTGTATGCCGTTCTTCCATTCCATTCAAACCGCCTCATCTCGCTTCATCTCATCCCGCAGCACCCCAGTGCGTGCTACCAGCGAGCGCACGACGACCATCACCCTGCAGTCCAGTACTTCTTCGCGCACACCAGCACCGCCTCGCCCTGCGCGCCGTCCTCCCCGCCGCTGCTCTCAATGCGCGCGTCCCACCGGAGCCCGGGCGCGAGGCGCAGCAGCTGCTGCAGCACGGGCAGCTCGTCGTGAATCAACACAGCACCCTCCGGCCGCAATATACGGTCCATCTCCAGCAACACGTGCTCCACGGGACACGGCCGGTTCACCCACTTGGAAAACAGGTTCGACACGTGGACCAGATCGTACGTGCGAGGGTACGTCGAAAACGCCTCGCACCAGTCCTGGTAGGACCCCAGCAGCCCGCGCTCGTAAATCACTCCCAGCGTGTCCGCCGCCGAAAACGCCACCGTCGAGGGGGAAGTCGCAACGGCTTCCACGCCCGCGCCCGCGCCCGCCGCCGGCTCCCCGTCCGCGCCGATGGCGGCTCCGCGCTCCACGGGCACCGCGTTCATCACCCATACGGGATCCTCCGCTTCCGCCAGCGCCGCCGCGAAGCCGCCATCGCGCGCGTTCATGTCCATAATGTTGCGGTACCGCCCCTGCCCCAGCCCCGGGAGCAGTTTCTCCTTGTACCACCGCACGCGGCGCCGCCACTCCTCCGTGTCCGCGCGGAACCCGTCCGCGGAAGCCAGCGCATCGGCGGTGGCGCCGCCGTTGCCCAGAACCATCTCCTCTCCGTCCGCCGCTTCGGCGGAAGGGGATGCCGCGGGAACGAGGTTCAGCGCGATGCGGGGCGGAACGGCCGTCAGCCTTTCCGGCCAGTTCGCCGGCCTGCCGCCAGGAACGCCGTCCGCGTCAGTGACGGTCGGCACGGGGGTGAGGCACGCGGGCATGGGGGTGTACCACGACAGATCCGGGTCCTGCGCCGCGGGGCACATGGGCGGAACACTGTTCCCTTCCGCCGCCTTCCCCTTGAGGCACTCCCCGTCGAGCGGCTTCTGCCACACCGCGAACATGCCCTTCTCCGCGTACTTGCGCCAGCACAGGCTCTCCGCCGTGCGCTCAATCTCCGCCTGCTCCGCCGCGAGGTCCGCCTCGGGGCGGTTCCACCCGCTGGCGTAGTGCTTCCAGTAGATGGGCGGGCCTGTCAGCACCCAGAAGCCGCCCGGGCGCAACACGCGGTCGATTTCCGCCAGGAGACGACCATCTGCGAATGGGGGCGAAGGGGGAAGGGAGGGAGGGGGAGGGCGGTTAAAAGAGCAGGAAGCCAGTGTGTTGAAACCACATTCTCAAATGTATCGCTCCCATTTTTTTCCTCCCTCGCTCGAAACCTCCTCGCCTCCCCTGCCCCTAGGCTCCTTTCCACCTCTCCTTCCCCATCTCCCGTTCTCGCCCCATTCATTCAAGCTCTCGTACCTTCGCGGGCCCACGGGATGAGGCAGCGCGAGCAGTGCGCGAGGTCGAAGGAGCGCGGCGGGTACGGCAGGCGCTTGGTGGCCAGCACGCCGATCATGGCGGGCAGCCCGCGCTCCAGCGCAAACTGCACCTGCGCCTCGTGCCCGTCGCGCGGCGCCAGCGACATGGTCAGAATGCCGCGGTTCAGCATGTACGCGCCGAAGCTGCCCACCTGCGTGGGGAAGGAACCGAGCCGGGGGAGGTGAAGGAGAAAAACAAAAATGCAAATTAGCAAGGGGCCATGGGAGTTGACATGATCTACAAGCGAAATAAAAGACAAACAAAAGCCCGTGGCACGAAAAGCGGGGCGAGAATATGGAAAAGGAGAGCGCGGCAGCGCGTACGTACCCCGCAGCCCGTGTCCAGCGCGGTGCGAATCGACCCGTCCGTGAGCGGAAGAATCTTCCCGAGCTCCTCGATATAGGCATCCGCTCCATCGTGGAACATAGTCCCGCCGCCAGGGAACAGAAACTTCTCCGTTTCTTCCTCGTACTGGATCCAGTGCTGGTCCGCCTTCGCCGTCGTCAAGTGCTTGTGCGGCACGTTCACGTACCACGCCTCCACGCGGCTCTGCGGCCAGGGGAGCGGCGTCTTGTACCCGACGGGCGGCGGAATGAGGCACTGCTTCACCTCGCGCACCGCCGGGCAGTGCCGCTCGTGGTGCATCATGGCGGTCTTCGGGAAGAGCTTCGCGCGATCGGGATCTTCGCACGGCGTGTGGTCGGTGAAGGCGGAGTCGCACGGCTCGAACATGCGCGCCGTCTGCGCCGCTTCCGCCAGGTTGTACCGCACCTGGTTGAGGAATCGGCGCAGCGGCAAGGCGCGGCGGGAGGCCTTGCGGTCCCGCGTGCCCGTGGGAACCGACACCTCCTCCATCTCCTCAGCAGCGAGCAGAATCAGAGGATTGCGGATGAATTCATCAGACGCGTTATCAGAGACCGGATTGCTCAGAAGCGGTAGATCGACGAAGCGCGGGCCGGTCGGCGTGAGCAGGGGTTCATCGGACATGGGAGGTTTGCCGAGAAGCGATGCGAGTGCGCGACTGATGGGGCATGGGCCGTCGTGTTGCCTGGAGCAAGCGAGGACCGCCAGGCCGATAACGAACGCGCAAACCATGGCAAGCAGCTGCCAGCCTGGCCCTCCTCGATCTCGTGACGGCATCTTGAGTTGTGCTAGTATCACTGACTCACTGAAAAGTTTTTCAGCTTCTATCAGACTACTCTAAACGTACGACCAGTGAATACGGGAAAGGAACGTGAAAGCAAGAATCCGACCTCCTCTCCTTTTATCTGAAGGCTTCTATTTTGTGGTGCTGTCCCCATCCCCCACACCACGAAACAACCCCCCAGACTCTGCTGGACAAGGGAGGTGTGGGCCGATGGATTCGGGTGAATGTGTTTGTTCCAAACCAGACCATCGCGCCTTGGGAATTTCTTCCCTTTCCATGCCGCAGAAACCGAGGCGCCTCGGCTCGGCTTGACCTGGAGATGATCTGTTTGGTTGGAGCAGGGCGGGGAACGCGTGGCAATTGGCTCGGCAGGGGGAAAATGGAGGCTCGGCGAGTTTGGCGCGGTAACACACAGACATACAGAACACAACATCCCTTGTCGCACAGGTCCTCTGTCGCCCGGCTCGACCTTGGAATTTGGCAGAGACGACGACAGGCGACAACTGACAGGGTCCAAACCAACCAGAACGAAGGACGAGTTCAGCGAAGTTCTCTTGACGGATCTGAACCAGGACCTATGAATTTCAATCATTTATATACAGTATTACCAGCCTGATATACATATATTCATTGTACACACGGCACTAAATGGATGAAGTTCATAAACAAGCTGGTGATTGTTCCAGGACTTTTCCTGTAAGACAAATAAATCATAATGCTAAATTCCTTTCCAAAGCTTCAACTTCACTAGTGCACATGGCAAAATTGCATTTCAGGATCAGTCTCGCCACATCCTCAGTATTTATGCTATGCTCCCTTGAGGCTTGAAGGTTTTGGCTAGACCCATAAGAACGTACAGATTCAGGGTGATGTGGATGGTTAGAATTCACTGTCAGCAATGATGTATATTATGCCATGAATGTGGCTCTTGGAACATGAAAGCAAAAGTTTCTAGAAATTCTACCCTAACCTAATCAGCAAAGCAAAAACAGCGAAAGCAGAAGATACAATCTAAAGATGAAGGTTATGCGGTGTCGCACGCTTGCCGACCCAACTAGGAGTTTCAGCGAATTCAGATACCAGCGTCTCATCCCAGGATGGCCCTCAATACCAGGCTCTCAGAAGCTTCACATGTGTCACCAACAGCATACCCCAAAACAGGTGACCATGCCTGGGTTCTGTGACTTGCAGCTGAACGGGTGGAGTAAGGAGAGATGGTTGAGTGAGCGTCGGGAGGGTGAGGGAAGCGAGGTCACTGACTCTCCTCCATCGCTCTGTCCTCACCCTGCATTGCGTTTCACAAGCCGGAGCCAGCTCACAACACAAACCGACTCTCCCCAAAGGACTTGCTCCGCCGGCTTCCTTGTCTGCAGCACTCTAAAAGTTAAGCTTAGCTGGCATCTGGTCAATGCAGTCGTCCCACGGGCCCAGGTTCTTATCCGCTCGCACCGTCCTCAGCGCCTTCCACACGGCGCTGTTGCACTTGAACCCGGACCCGAACGCGATCTGCCACACGCGGTCGCCGCGTCGCACGCGGCCCTTGGCCTCGGTGTACGACAGCTCGTACCACACGGACGACGACGACGTGTTGCCGAAGCGGTACAGCGTCATGCGCGACGGCTCGATGTGCCACGGCGTCAGCTCCAGGTTCTTCTCGAGCTCGTCCAGCACGGCGCGACCGCCCGCGTGGATGCAGAAGTGCTCGAACGCGAGCTTGAAGTCCGGAATGTACGGCTTGAGCTTCATGCGGAACACCTTGCGCGCGATGAGCACGGCCGCGAACAGCAGCTGCTCCGACAGCGGCAGCACCAGAGGGCCGAGCGTCGTGATGTTGGTCTTGAGCGCCTCGCCTGCGACGGACATGAGATCGCGCGACAGCGACACGCCCACGATCTTCTGGTCGTCCTCCTCCTGGAAGACGCACTGGTAGTGCTTGTCGTTGGCGCCCATGTGCGTGCGCACCAGGTGCTGCAGCTTGTACTTGGCGCGCCAGCTCTCGCTGTTCTTGTTCGTCAGCAGCAGCGCGGCGGCGCCGATGCGGAAGATGCAGTTGGGAATGAGCATGGACTTTTTGTTGCCGAAGTAGAGCTGCTGGGTGGTGTTCTCGGTGGAAACCACCACGGCGTACGAGTTCCCGTGCACCTGAAGCATGTCGCGCGCCAGATCCACAGCGATGACTCCCGCGCTGCAGCCCATGCCGCCGAGGTTGAACGACCGGACGTTGCTGCGCATCTTGTACTTGTTGATGATCATGGCGGACAGAGACGGCGTCGGGCAGAAGACGCTGCAGTTCACAATGAGGATACCAATGTCGCGAGGCTTGAGCCCGGTCTTCGCGAACAGCTCGTCCAACGCGCCGAAGATGACCATCTCAGCCTCGTTACGCGCCTCGCCGAGCGACTGGTTGAGAGGGAGATTCACGAACCCAGGAGGCAGGCACGTGCGGTCGCCTAGCCCCGCGCGTTCGAGCACCTTGCCCTGGAACTCCAGGCACTTTTCATCGAACCGCCCGATTTTCCTCGCGTGGTCGAGCGCGCCCTTGATGGTCATGGCGAGCGATTCCGGCGGCTTGAAGCACGCGAAGTCGACGAGGTAAACGGGTCGCGAGCGCAGCATTAAATACACCGTGAGACCGAAGACGGCAAGTGACAGGCAGGCGACCACCGGGATCAGATTTAGCTGAACACTGTCCCAAATGAGATTCAGATCGTCGGAAGTGACGCGGGAAATCTGAAGCGCCACCGACGCGACAATGGGAACGAGAAGCATTGGCAGACCGTGCGTAACCAGGTAGTGGTAACCAAGCTTCACATGTCCCATGCTCACGCTCTGGAGAAAATCTGGAAGAACTCGGCGAGATCCGTCTTCTGGCTCCATGTAGGCTTGCGCGGCCGTGGGCATTTCTTCTGCAGGTCTGGGTTCTCCGGTTGCAGAAGCCATGGCAGCAACTGGCGTTGACGGGTAATGTCGACTGCAATGCCTGGGCCAGTCCCTATGCCTCTGGTAACCAACGGATGGCCTAGCCAAGCTGAACTAAGAGACTGAGCAAGAACGGAAAAGATGCTGAAGAGGAGTACGCGGATCTGGGATAGAAGAGTTGTGAGAGTAAGGAGAACTCAAGTAGACAGTTGGGGGGGCTGTGCGATGTGCTGTTGCTGGCTTTCACACGGGGTAGCAAGAACCAGCGACAACTTGCGACGTGGGAATTGACGGACCTCCGTTGTGCCAGAGCTTCACCAAACCAGAATGCTAGGCGGGATCAGCCCCGGACGCGGCTCCTCTCAACGGCATTGGTTCGGCTTGCTTCGGTGCCGTGCGGCGTCTAGGTTGCGGTAGAGGGTGTTTGGCTCGGCGACGAGCGGTTTCGGCGCGAACCACAATTCCGCAAGCAGGGACCACAGGCGAACCACAAGGAGAAGATATTCGTTGGAGGGAAACTCGAGGTGTATTTTACTCTGCAACAGATCCCGAGTGCCGAAACAAAGGCGCGGAATCGTCTGATTGGTGATGAGGTAGGCTCGACAAGAGCTTCACCGTCGAACCGCGTCAGAATCCAAGAGCCGAACAACCAATCAACCTCTGCAATTTTTCAACGAAGGGGCACGAAGAATGACGTCAGCCATTCATTATTCCTCGAACCGAAAGTTCAGCGAGGAGTACTGCACTTGTTACGGATGCTTCTTAGTGTTACGAGTGCAATTGAGCGAGCGAGCGAGAATTGCACTATCTAAGCAAAACAATACATTGAGCGAAGGCATGAGCGAAGGCATGAGCGAAGAATATATAGCAAAGCTAGCGTGGTAACGGTGGCGGGAGTCGTGGTCGAGGCGAGTGTCGCGAGCGGGTAACGTTTCACTGTTGGGTGCCGGTGGCGGGAATGGTCATGTACGCGGTAAGCAGGGGCGCGAAGAAAGGAAAATGAATTTCCCTTACACTACCCCCCTCCCTAAGGAGGCCCTTCTTACGAGAGCGCGTGTACATCTCGAAAGTTTCGGCTGCGCAGGTACTCGGTGAGGACAGGGTGGTTCTCGATTCTATCCAGGGGGACCCAGTTGTCTTCGGTGGGCGTGCGGTCTTTCCAGCGGATCATAAATTCGATCCTGCGGGCTCCCCGTGGGTCACGAAATCGGTGGCTCAGCATTTTTTCAGACGTGATGATTGGCTCTGTCGGCGGTCGTGTCATGCTAGCAGGGCGGTTGCGAGGCAGTTGGCTGGTGGATGGGACATACGGGTGAAGCAGGCTGACGTGGAACGACGGTCTGACGTACCAGTCAGCAGGAAGGAGGAGGTGGGCGGTGACGGGGGTGATCATGTGGCTGATGCGAAATGGCCCGCAATATCGGGGGCGGGGTTTCATAGTGATGGGTAGGCGGAGGTTTTGAGTGTCGAGTAACACCAGGTCGTCGGGTTGGTAAGTGACGGGGCGGCGGTGGCGGTCGGCGTTGCACTTAGCGATGACGTTTGATTTCTTTATTGCTTCTGCTGCTTGGGTCCGTGCTCCCTGTAACATTTCAGCGAATTGTTGCGCGCGTGGCACCGGGTTGTCGGGATTCGGGGTCATGGGTACTGTGGGGTCTTGTCCGTAGTTCAGGTAGAAAGGTGACTGTTGGGTCGTGGCGGATGGCGAGTTGTTGTATGCGAACTCGATGAGTGGCAGTTGCTGTTCCCACGTGGTCGGGTCGTCGCACGTGGCTCGGATTAGCTGTTCCATGGTCTGATTTGTCCGTTCTGTCTGTCCGTCAGTTTCGGGGTGGTACGATGAACTAACCTGTAGTCGCGTGCCGAACTGCTGCCACAGGTACCGCCAGAAGTTGCTGGTGAATTTCGTGTCGCGGTCGCTAATGATCGCCGCTGGTATCTCGTGCAGTCGAACGATGGTGGCGATGAAGAGGCGGGCTGTTTCTTCGGCTGTGATTGATTTATTGCAGGCTGCGAAATGTGCCATTTTCGTCAGCCGATCGACGACGACCAGGATCGCGTCGTTCCCACTCGCTCCAGCCGGTAACCCCGTGACGAAGTCCATGGTCACCTGCTGCCAAGCACGCTCTGGGGGTGGTATCGGCTGCAACTGTCCTGCTGGTCGCTGTCGTGACGACTTCATGAGCTGGCAGGTGGGGCACGATGCCACGTGTCGCTGCACGTCGGTCAGCATCTCGGGCCAGTAATAATATCGCTGCAGCTACTGCCGTGTTTTTTCTACTCCGAAATCTCCTGAGGTGACTCCGTCATGTGCCTCCTGTAGCAGTAATTCCCGTAGTAAGGTGTAGCTCGGTACCCAGATCCTATCAGTGCCGGCTTTTACGTAATACACCCCTTTTGCTACTGCGAACTTCTGCGAGTTTCCTCCGGTGAAGAACGGGTCTGTTTGGTAGCCGTGGGTAAATAATCCTGTGAGCAGTGGGCTGGTCTGGGCGAGTAGTATGGCGTGGATTTGGGCAGTGGGGCGGGTCAGTGCGTCGGCGATGTTCGATGCCCCCTTTTTGTAGGTGACCATGTAGTGAAAATTAGACTCAAGGAAATCGAGCCAACGAACCTGTCGTGGGTTGAGGTGGGGTTGTGCGCGGAGGTACTGTAGTGATCTGTGGTCTGTCCGTACTGTCACGTCTGCGACGGTCAAGTAACAGCGCCAGACCTTGAACGCGTGCACGATCGCGAGCATTTCGCGGTCGTGTATCGGGTAAATTTTCTCGGGCGGATGCAGTTTTCGTGACTCGTATGCGATGGGCTGTAGGCCATTGCCGAAATCCTGTAGCAGTACGGCTCCGATGGCGATGTCACTTGCGTCTGTAACTACTTCGAATGGGCGGTGTGGGTCGGCAATGCGCAGGACGGGCGGTGAACAGAGAACATTTTTCAGGGCAGAGAAGGCAGCATGCTCTTTCTCCCCCGACGTAAAAGCGACCCCATGTCGCAGAAAATCCGTCAGTGGGGCAGTTAACCGTGCCATGTCGGGGACGAACCGACGCACATAATTAACGAACCCTAAAAAACTCTGCAGCTCCGTGATATTTGTCGGGGGGTGCCACGCTTTTACCGTGTCCAGCTTCTTGGGGTCGATTTCAACTCCAGCCTCCGAAATAACGTGCCCCAAAAATTATAACCTATCTTGGAAGAACTCGCATTTGGAACCATTCGTCAGTAGTCTGTGCTCGTCTAAAACTTTAAAGACTGCTTCCAGGTCTTCTAAGTGCTGCTGCTTATCGCGACTGTAGACTAGGATGTCGTCGAGGTAAACTATCACGCATTTATCTAAAAGTGGTCTAAACGCCTCGTTCATGGTCATCTGAAAAGTTGCCGGTGCGTTGGTCAGTCCGAATGGCATCACTGTATACTCGAATGACCCGTACCGAGTTCTAAATGCCGTCTTGGTGCAGTCCGATGGTTCGACCCTAATCTGATGGTAATCCCATCGTAGGTCATTTTTCGAAAAGACCCGTGCGAACCGCATGGGGCCACAGAAAATGGGGCGCACGGGCATGAATCATGGACGTGCGGGCGATGCCCATGACCAAGCCTATGCGGCACTCAGCAACCCCATTCTGCTGTGGGGACTCTGGCAGCGTCCAGGACTGGGTGATGCCCTGTTCGCCGCAGAATCCGCCGAGAATGCCGGAGCGAAACTCGCCCCCACGGTCGGAGTGAAGACAACTGACTCGACGACCACGAGTGCCCTCAGTGGCTAGAAGCCACCTGATCAGCGTAGCAGTCACCTCGGACTTCTTCGCAAGAGGGAACACTGTGGTGTACCTGGAGAAGTCGTCGACGACCACCAGAAAGTAACGCTCCCTCCCAGACCCCTGCGTCGGGGCAGGGCCCCAGACGTCCAAGTGGAGAGTCTCGAAGGGAGCGGTGGCCGGACGAAGGGAGGAGGAGTGGGGAGTGGCGCGTAAGCGACCGGCGACGCACGGAGAGCAAGGAGGGGCAAGCGAGAGAGGGAGCGACGGGAAGGTGCGTGGGAGACCTGTGACTAGTCCCTGACTGAGCATGCCACGAAGGCGAGGGATCGACGGGTGGCCAAGACGGTGGTGCCACAGGACGGTGCGGTGGGCGAGAGAGCGACAGGAGCAAGACGCAGCGACTGGACTGGACACAGCGACCGGACTGGACACGACTACCTGGCTAGACACAGCAACTGGACTGGGGACCTGGGTCGGAGGGGACGCAACAACCTGAGGGGAGGACGCGACCGGGGAGCGCTCGGTGTGGAGAACGTAGAGACCGGAGCGGGGCTCCCTGGTGAACGTGGCCAGAACAGCACCTGTGGTAGCGTCAGTACAGACTGCAGTCCGACTCCCCCCCACAAAGGTAACGGTGATCCCCCTGTCCTGGAGGTATCCAACACCCACCAAGTTCCGAGTGAACGAGGGGATGTGGAGGCCGCGCAAGACACCAGAGGGGACCACAGGGCACGGGAGGGTGGTGGAGCTGCGCGCAACGGCTGGTCCTGAAGAAGGATCAGCCAAAGCTACCGGAACCGGAGCAAGAAGTGGTGTGAGGGTCGTGTGGTCGCGGAAGAAACACTGCGACGCGCCAGAGTCCAGCGTGAACGACAGAGATGCCTCAGCCAGAGGCGTGTCAGGTCCGGAGGCTACACAAGCACCTAGAGCAGAAACACAAGCACCTAGACTAGAGAGGCACAGGTCTACACTAACAGGAGGCAAGCATCCTAGACTACGAACACGCGAGCACACAAATCCATCAGCACTATAGTCAACATCAGCATACAAAGCATACTGACGAGCATCGTCCATAGACAGTTCAAATACAGG